TCCTGTCATCGGTTTCTTTTTCGGGCAAAACTTTAGCCAGCTGACAAAGAACCTCGTATTCCAAAATGCAATAATATGACAACTGGTTAATGATTCTCTACGGGAACCGCTCTGACTACTTGTCTATCATTTCTGAAATGACAGTGGAGTAAGCTGATGTAACGCTCAAAGAAATCGGTTTACAAGTGCATTACGAATCGTAAATGGTTCTCTCTACCACCACTTTTTGCACACTGACTTATGAGCAACCCAGAACCATTTCCCGTCTTCTAACTCGAGGAATCCTGCTGGCTGTTGAGATTTTTTTTTCCTAACCGCACCAATTCCCACCAGTACTGCTGTTCTTCTTTTTAAAGTCTTCTTTGACCATTAGGCAAAAGGCGCAATTGTCTACTTCGTTGCACTTCCATTTGGAAGCACAGTCGAACAGCGATATCTATAAGATTATTTAAAATCCTTTTCTACTTGTTATACTCTACGGTTTGTTCCACTTTCCAAAGAAAGCCTAACAGGTTTTATTGCTCGTGAATAAGTGGTAGCCTCATTAATGACTCCATCAAAAATCCAGTGGACTGGATCATCCATAAACATCACGTGAAAGCATTCGAAAGCATTAGCTTGCTCAGAAATAAATGAGCGTTCTGAAACATTTATTGTTTTAATTTGCTTTTTGCCAACAAAATATCTTTCGTACCTTGCAATATTACATACGATTAAAAAGCCAATTTTTTGCTCCTTTTGACCACGTTTCTATATTTTGCTAAAAGTTAAACCTGTTCACTCATTTTGATCTTCGCAAATTTAAATGTCGAAAACAAATATTCGTTATATTTTTTTTATGTGTTCAAACTCGGTCGTAGTGTAGCAGGGACTGCTCGAAACATTAATAAAGTTTCGGATGAAAGTAGTGTTGGTGAACCAACACTGCGAACGTGGTTCCGGAAATTCCGATCTGGTGATTTCGACTTCGAAGTTAAGGAAGGCCACGGATGTCTCAATAAATTTGATGACGACGAATCGAAAGCATGGAAGCAAACACGATAACAACTGTTCGAGACTTGCAGAACAGCTTGGTGTAAGCACAGGAACAAATTCCACCCACTTGAATATCATGGGCAAGACAAGAAAAATTCGACGAGTGTGCGCTGTACAATTTAAACGATAATAAAAAAACCGTCGTTTTGAAGCGTCGTCTTTCCTTATTCTGCGACACAAAACGACACTTTTCTTAACCGAATTGTGGAGTGCGACGAGAAATGGGTTCCGACGACAACCTGCGACGTTCAGCTCAATGGTTGGACTGCAGTCAGAACCCACCACTCCCCAAAGCCGAAATTGCACCAGAAAAAGGTTATGGTGACTGTTTGGTGGTCTACAGCCGAGCTGATTCATCACATCTTTTTGAATCTGGGTGAGACGATTAGGGCAGAGAAGTATTACCAACAAATCGGCGAAATGCTCCGTGAACTCCAACAACAACAACCGGCATTTGTCAACAGTAAAGGACCAGTCCTTCCTCACGACAAGACCTGCCGTCACGTTGCAAAACCAGCTTTGCGAAAGCTGAACGAATTGAGCTGCGAAACTTGGCCTTATCCGCCATATTCACCAGACCTCTCGCCTACCGACTATCACTTCTTCATAACTCGAAAGACCGACTTTCTATAAACCTGGGCATAGATAGTTGATATATTTATTTATGTGATCTTATAAACTGATCTTCTCAAGCTGACGCGAGGTTGGTACAGATCTTCGTTGTCGTTGTCGTTGTTTTTGATGTCATTGATCGATGGCTGACGTTTCGGCGACTTCGTCTTCCTCAGAGCCTGGACGTACCTTATGTTACAATACTTTTTATTATTCGGTGAAAAAGAAGGTTAAAGTATTAATGAAGATCAAACTTTCAAATAGACGCCATATTGAACAGAAAGGCCACTCACCGTAATGTTACGTGCGGGACTGGCCCACACGTAGTTCACGCGATGAAGACACGCCCCGGGGACAAAATATCATTTTGAAATAGGGAGCCAGGTCACGCGTGATAGTGAGGCATTCGTCCTTCCGGTTCATCTTTGGATTTTTGAAATTTATCTAAGACGCCTCAAGAGTTTTGCGCGTTGATGTTTTTGATTCCTGCGCTAGGATCCGCACATTCACTTCAAAATCATCGCCGTTGTGCTTTAATGAAAGGACCACCACTCGTCAAGTCCCAAGTAAAAGCCCTGAAATAGACTGCGCACCAAGAACATCCAGAGTTACTGTGCTAGTAGGTATAACGCTTCCGGAAAATGTGCGTTCCTTGTTAGAATTAGGTCCGAGTTTTGCACCTAGTCAACCCATTTCTAAACCAATCCTGCGCAGGTTCACATGTAGTCTACATAAACTTCAAGACCAGCTACGTTACAGGGTTAGGCTAGAAAGGTTAGGTAAAGTAGTATCAAGGAGGAAACTACCACCAATACCTTTTCCCCGAACTTTCTTTAAACAAGAGCTACCAAATAGCGATATTGACCCTACATTTCGTTTATTTTCGGATGAAATTCTCCGCATGCTTAATCACTACCAAAAACGAAAAATAAGCTCCAACCTCACAAACCAACAAAAAAGTGGTATGCGCCAGGTTAGAGAGATTTTGAATTCAAAATCTATTAGGCTTTCTATTAGTGATAAAGGCGGAGAATTTGTAGTTCTTCCTAGTCAGTTCGATATTAGGATAACAGAGTAGCACCTCAGTGATGTTTCTCTCTATCGAACATCCCCTGAAAAGGAATACAGAAATCAATACCGAAAATTGAATCAAGAATGGGTCAGCACGGCAAAGGCCGCGGGTTTAGAGCCTTCAGTTATTTCTCGACTTAAGAACGAACACCCGATTTGCCCTGTCCTTTACTTGCTTATTAAAACACATAAGCTTACTTCAACTGATGATATTACATCAACGAACCCATCATCATATAAAGTTAGACCAATCATCAGTTGTATAGGCGAGCCAACGGATAGAATAATGTGGTTCCTAAACCTTATCCTAACCCAGTTGCTAAAATACATTCCAGCCCATCTACCTGACACCAAAATATTTCTAGATCACCTAAGGCGCGCGAAACCAAACAGCACGCATATAATGAAGTAATTCGATGTTAGTTCACTTTATACCAACGTGTCCAATGACTCCGCAATGCAAGCCATTCTCGAGTTGCTCGTAGAGCATGAAAAGGAAATAAAAATGCACGGCTTGTCGATTGCGCAACTAATGACCCTCTTAAAACAGTGTCTTAGTTGTTTAATCTTTAGGTGGTCTGAAAAATATTTTGAACAAATTAGAGGGTTGGCGATGGGGCAGCGTTTAGCACCAAGCGTTGCCATCGCTTTCATGTCTAAGGTGGAAGCTCCAGTTCTCGATCACCGACCCTTACTTTACTGTCGATACATAGACGACTGCTTCATCGTCTGTTCCACACAAGAACAGATAGGTGAGTGCTTTGAATTATTAAACCGACAGTCAGAGTATATAAAATTTACACGAGAAAAACCTACCGAGAACTGGCTTCCATTCTTAAACATCCAAATAAAGCTCTCAGTAGGTGGCTATGTAGCAAAATGGTATCGCTAGCCAAGTAGTAAAAACATTCTTGTTCACTGCCTCTCCTCTCATCCTTCACACATGAAAAAAGCACTTATCAAAAATACGTATCGTACGGCTAAAATGTGTGTACAGGAGAAGAGGAAAGGAAGGAATCGCGAAACCTGGCACGAAAAATTGCCATTTCCAATGGCTACGAAGTAGAAGCCACTCGGGTTAGACGAAAACGTTGTGTAGTTTCCCAAAATAATATTTCAGACGAAAGTAGGATCCCCTTTAAGCTGCCCTTCATATCAAATGAAGTAANTGTTCACTGCCTCTCCTCTCATCCTTCACACATGAAAAAAGCACTTATCAAAAATACGTATCGTACGGCTAAAATGTGTGTACAGGAGAAGAGGAAAGGAAGGAATCGCGAAACCTGGCACGAAAAATTGCCATTTCCAATGGCTACGAAGTAGAAGCCACTCGGGTTAGACGAAAACGTTGTGTAGTTTCCCAAAATAATATTTCAGACGAAAGTAGGATCTCCTTTAAGCTGCCCTTCATATCAAATGAACTAAGTTACGCCATTAAAAAGTGCTTAAGAAAAAGTGGTCTTGAAAATTATGTAACGATTATTGACATCCCACCGAATACCCTACGCCTAGTTCGAAACCGTCTCTATGATCGTTTGTGCAGCTCAGAAAACTGTATGATCTGTCCTAACGGGAGAGGCGGGGATTGTATGGGATTAGGTATAAGATACTTGATCTCATGTAATGCATGCGGCGAGGAATATATCGGGGAAACGGGTAGACCACTTTGTGTCCCCATAAAAGAACATCTAGATGGAAAAGCTAAAATCCGTTTAAGCACCGCTCTAGGTACGCATAGGGCACAAAAGCATAACGGCGATGATTTTGAAGTGAATGTGCGGATCCTAGCGCAGGAATCAAAAACATCAACGCGCAAAACTCTTGAGGCGTTTTGGATAAATTTGAAAAATCCAAAGATGAACCGGAAGGACGAATGCCTCACTATCACGCGTGACCTGGCTCCCTATTTCAAAACGATATTTTGACCCCGGGGCGTGTCTTCATCGCGTGAACTACGTGTGGGCCAGTCCCGCACGTAACATCACGGTGAGTGGCCTTTCTGTTCAATATGGCGTCTATTTGAAAGTTTGATCTTCATTAATACTTTAACCTTCTTTTTCACCGAATAATAAAAAGTATTCTAACATAAGGTACGTCCAGGCTCTGAGGAAGACGAAGTCGCCGAAACGTTAGCCATCGAACAATAACATCAAAAACAACGACAACCACAACGAAGATCTGTACCAACCTCGCGTCAGCTTAAGAAGTTCAGTTTATAAGATCACATAAATAAATATATCACTTCTTCAAGTACCTTAGCAACTTCCTCCGCGAGAAGTGAAATGCCTTCGAGAAGTTCATCGCTTCCAGAACTCCAGAATTTTATGCAATTAAAATAAATAAATTTGTTTTTCGTTGGCAAAAATGTGTAGATTTAAATGGTTCTTATGTAGATTTACATGGTTTTTACTTCGATTAAAGAAGTTTTGTTTGAAGCAAGGTGTAACATTTTGAATAATATAGCTCAAAACGCTCATTTATTTCTGAACAACCCAATGGGCATGACTAACCAGTGGTTCTTTTACGGAAAACACCACAGTTTCAATTTAATTTTCAGTTTTTTCACCGCCATGAATGGAAATATAATATGAAAAAAAGATATGGAAAAGAATCTTCATGAGGTGGATATTAAAGATGCCACCCTTTCGTCGTAATATTTTTCCGTCAATGATGAGAAGAAAACTGCGAACTTCCAGAAAACAGTCGCAAACAGATGTTGACAAAAAATCACAAGTTTTTGTCCTCTTTAAAAAATTCAGCCCTAGTCTATTTGTTAGTGAGCCAAAATAAGGATGTCTAGTGAAATTCCAGATGTTTCAGAACGGTTCACGTGAGTTCTCGGCTCATCTCGAAATCGGATTCCATCCGCTGGTAATCACAAGCAGCGACCGGCTGTTCTCTGTGAAATGTATTGATAACTCGCATGCCGTTGCTCACCCGACAGAAAAAATTAGTGATGAGTGCGCATGTTTTTAAGAATTAGAAAGCATTATGTCGAACACATAGTAGCTTTTTTTACGAAATGTGACAAACAATTTTGCTTTAGGTCGTTTTTAGATAAAAAGTGAATTCCTTTCAAGAAATTTGCATATATGGATGTTCTAACTGTAGTACGGCCGCTGTAGCGAGGTGGTTAGAGGTATTCGATAATCCACGCTTGATCACTCACTCACCTGGCTATTCCCACACCCCACTCTCACTAAGCCTTCCAACCCTCCGGAGACTCTAAATTGATAGCAAACTTGCCTGAGAAGTTAGCAGCACTGACTGATACATCGGTGGATGACCGCGAGCCATGGCATAGGCTAGATGTCCACTGAGTCGCCTGTAACGACGCTCGCTGAAGTTGGATGCATGGCGCATCCCTGATCAACGCCGAAATCTTCATTCTTCATCTGTAATGGGTGCTGTGTTTGCTGTGCCCTAGCCATCTAGTTAAAATATCCGAATCAATGAGTAATATTGTTCATAAGAGCCGTTTAATGTTTTTAATGAGATTTGTCCAATTGCGATGCATTGTAGTAGAGATTTAGTACTTGTTCACATTCTGTACGTCTGACATCTCGATGGGAAAGCAGTACTGTTTTTCATGTCGGAGACGCTGTTATTCATGAGTGGAAATGCAATTTTCGAAGCAAAGGTTAAACGTTTATGTGTATTTTTCGTAAAATTTCTACCTAAGACATTTTTTTTCTAATGGTCGCTAGTTTTAGAGGCGCAGAAATATCAAACGTTCCTCACAAGTTGCAATGCAGTTTCGAGCTCCGGTCAAGTCCTACACCTGGTGGATGAGAATGGGTCAGTATTTATTTCATATTTATATATGTACGATTAATTCAATGGTTTATTGTGGACAGAATTTTCATTTATCTTTCATCTTTTATTATGGCATATCCATATTCATATCCGCACAGTACATGTGATATTTTCTCGGTGATTCATGATTTCAACGTGATTTCAAATACAGCCTCAGCCTAACTGGGTTCAATGCCGATGTGAGGTCTCTAGATCAACCTCGTTGACGGGTGATTGCTGTTGACATTGGTCGATAGAACTAGCTGAGAGAAAGGCGAAGCGAAGAATCCGTTTGGTGTGGTAGTGAACGTGTTACTCGCCGGAAAGGATAATGGCGCGTTCGTTCCCCAGCGCAGGCACCTGGGGTCCAGAGTTTTGCAAATGTCTTAACAGCATTGTGGTTTTGAAGTCTAAATATTATGACGCAAATGCATATATAAACATTTTTACTCATATACAAGTTGGTATGACCTGCCGAAATATGACGTTAGAAAACTGTTATTCGCTGTTCATAAATCACTTCATTCTTAGTCCCGTTCTTATGCTTTAGTCAACAGTTGGCTTATATCTCGACTTCCTTATTCTTTCATCAAATTTCATTTTATCATTCCATACCTCGTTTTTCATATCTTGTTTAGATGCATCGTGGATTCCGAACTCATTGGGGAAATCGTCTACAATAGTTTTATACCAAAAGTGTTTGCACGAGCTCGAATGTTCAAGTTGATGAACAGCGAAAAGTAAGCCTGTAAAGGAATTCTTTTGCTTAATGGACAGTTTTCCCAGCTTATTACATTTTCCTCTCATTTTTTGACATACTCTTTTTATAGGTATCGTATAAAGTGCAATATTCAGATATGTGGTAGTGATAGTGTCTGCAAGAATCGAACCTTTGTGAGTTCACTATTGTACTATATTCATTTCGTTTTTCGATTGCATACTGTATCATGTCAACAAAAGTTTAAATCTCTGCCTCAACCATTTCGAGCTGCCAAAGCTTACTCAGTTGTTCGTCGGTGAAAAAACTTTTAATTGATCCGGATTAAAGCATTTCATAGTTAACTCAGAAGTTGGGTCAATGCGCACCAAATATAGACCTAGTCTATTTTTTTTTCATGTCTTAGCCTGTTGAGTGTTTGTGGGCGCTTGTTGGCCTTATAATCAGTGCTTGGTATTATTTACTGTAGCTTAGTTGGTAAATTTAGGCCTACTTTTCTTCATGAAGCTTCCCAATCCTTCTCGCTTTCTTGCTATGACCTATTACTATCTTCTAAACACGAATTTAAGAATTCTCGCCAATCGGTCATTTTCATGACTTGTGGGCTTACTGTTGTCCTATAGTGTTCCATATTCCTGAAGAGATTTCAACCATGTTGCTTAGTAATATTATGTCGATTCTGGTTACATTTGATGTTCTTTTAAGAAACTAGCAGCGTAGATAAATAAGAGAGTCCATTCGCGCAACAGGTTTCTGTCCAAGTTTTCTTCTTTTTCGTTTTTTTTTTGGTTTTTTCTTTTCTCACAGGTAGACAATGAGCGCCTCTGCCATTCTAATATCACTGTTATGGATGTGTAGTTGTTCTCCGTGAGAAATACTAATTTTTTTATTGTACGGAAAATTTCGAGTTCGCACACAAAATTTTAGTGAAGTCACAAACGATCCGCAAAAAAAAATCTCCACATAGGAGATAAAGTTATTACTTTGCTCTCATCTTCACCTTTTTATATAGTGACAAAGTACTTGCTACAACTTTTATAATATTCCTTGACCTTTTCATACCGAACGAAGCCAATACCAGGATCCACTGCCGTCCTGGTTCAAAAGTCGCATGATGAAAAATCTCCCCCTGATCCACAAGGGCGACGACGCCCTGTGGTGCTGATGACCTGGGGCTGGCTTTGACCAGAATGACCTCGGGATTCCAGGGAACCACAATGGCTTAACTAGAAAATCTCCGAAAAATGGAGATTATGCTGGGGCCCGCACAACCAGTGATCACGGGCCGTTCAACTATCAAGTATCAAGCTTCATACCGAACAAGTGATTTACTGATGAAAACGAATTGACAGTGAAATATCTGAAGAAATACAGAGGAAATTTTCGTTCTTCTTCAGTGTATCGACCTTTAACGCCAACAACACTCCTATTCCTTCCATTGAATAAGGGTAAAAGTGTCATAATTTCTGGAAATCATTGCAAAATAATCGTCGCTTCCGAAAAATTTAGGCAGCCCACCATTCAATCGTTACGCTTGAATTCTTCAATTCAAGATGATTAACTGCTATTGCGCATTCCAGATGTGATGGCTTGGAAAAGAAGTTCCTACTTCTTAGTGCCATTATTTTTTTTTCTTTAGACTTCAAAAAGTTTAGTTCATGCAATTCGTGGGCTAATAAACAAAAATTTGTGGATAAGAAGTTCAGTAAATTATTTGTTATTGTCAGCGTTTCGTCTTTGGTGAAATAAATGTGAGTAATAGCGTCCTAGTATTTCCAGTTTCGTTAACATTCTATTTATTTTCCTAATTGTTCATCAAAAGACATTTCGTGATACTTCGTTTCTAGCGGTTCATGTGTGTGTTGTCCTCAAAACTTTGGACCACCTGATACTTGACATCCTGGCGTGTCCTGCAGCGTTCCTGGACTTCGATCGTGGGCAATGACGAGCCCGATAACGCTAGTCGATCCTAAGTCGTTCTTACATGGGGTCCAGGTTTTAGAAGCGTACTTCAAGGTAAGAACAATCACAGATTTGGAAGTGGCGGCACAAAGACTGGTGCCGCTTGACGTTCTCACTACGTGGCCGATCCTCTTGTGTATTCCCACATTCCCATACCGCTCGTTCTCTCTTTCTCGACCCCCATGCTTTGTGAGTTAAAACGTTTGTCATGTTGATTTTTCGTCAAACAGCATGAGCACACAGAGGTATTCCTTCTTTTAGATCTGGACTAAGCATTAGAAAGAGCCTGTTTCTCATGCACATCGGTGTACGACGGTCCCACTGAAGACATATTTTTCGACAGCTGCTGTTGTTTGATGTCATTAGAACATTGTCATCAAGTATATTCAGGAAGTACACCGACTTGTCAATAATGTAAAAATCATATAGCTACCAGCATTTGGTTTTCACTTCAGTAGCAATTGCAAATAATTTTTAAGAGATAGCATCGCATTCTCAAACTCCTCTTTTTTATCCCCATGAAAATATTTGGCTTAGAATGGTGAAGATCTCGATGTGAAATGGTTATATGGCATTTTAATCACAATTGCATATCGAAGATGTGCGCTCTTGCCGTCTGTGTTGGCTCATGTTTCAATTTCATAGTTTTTTCAAGTTAATGAAAGTGAGGCAATGTGGCATATTGGATTCTCATTTGCATTCCTAATCGTATTGGTACAACCCATCGTGCAAAGCATTTTCTAAAATCCTGCTTGCTGTCATGATTTTCCATCGTGTCACTTGTGTCACCCTTGTTGACCATCTAAGGGAGGTCGCAGACAATATACAGCGGTCAGATTTGATGGTAGTGACCCATGGCGTATGGCCTTCCTCTTGTGTTCAACAAACAGGCTCGCAGGTTTTCCATTAATTTGGAATGTTATGCTCTGACATGTATTGTGTGACTGTATGTTGGTGCGAACTGGAGGAAGCTTCTCAAAAATAACCGATTTTAGTCCTCTTTGGATCAGGTGCTGCGCAATTCACAGGTAATACGAAAGGTGATCCACTGGGGTTGGAAACACGTTTTCTATGCCCTGATATGGAAGTAGCTTGAAGAAGCCTTCGAGAATTCGAGTGGAAATCGTACTTTGCCCTTTAAACTGCTCTTCTTTATGCAGGACTTTTCTTGCATGATCACCATGATCTCGCAATTGTTCGAATCCCGACAGGCATTTTGGATGTTCTTCCCAACCTCTGCTGCTTCAGTAGATACTAGCAATCTTCTCACTATAATTTTGATCGCGAATTGGTGATTGTTAACAAGCTGAAACTCTCCGGAGACAAGCAACTATTTTTGACTTTAAAATTCTCAACTTTCTAGCACTATCTTAAATTTTCTTGACGAGACAATCGTTTCATCTTCCAGTATCTTTCAAAATTGGTGTCTAAAGTTCCATTAACTACCATATTTTTGTAGAGAAAAGAATATGCTTACGAGGCAAGCGATGCTCCGATCTCGTATAAAACATTGTGATAACAGCGACATCGGCTCATTAAAAGCTTCAATTTACGACGAATGATGTAGCAGCTATGATAGTTTTCATTGGGAGACTGCCCACGTCCAACGTTGCGATGAAGGCTTATGGAAATGTGGGTTATCATGAATGTAGTGAGTCATCGTGGTAATCTGAACAGCCATCCATCTTCCCTAACCCATTCCAATCTGTAGGCCCAAATGTCTGATTTTCTCAGACCTTCTTTTTGATTAAATCTTTCTATTAAAAATGTCAACGACAACGTTGTAGAGAGTTGATATTTCAGGGAAAACTACGTCAAGTCCAAATGGAGTCGTTCAACCTTGTTCTCCCCTTAGCTCGATATGAGAGCATAGAAAACGGAAATTGTTTAAAAAAAACGTTGGTCTAGAAATCTAACCGATTGGCGTGGCTGGTTATTCATAGAAATAGATGCCGTGGTCGAGCTCCATTCAGCAGGAAAAATAAATTTGTCCACTTCGCAGCCATCAAATGTTATGAGGCACAAACCGTCTTTAATGTGATAAGAGACGTTTAGTAAGCTGCGCCTTCTCGTTGTGGCCAGTCCGGTTACGAATGCTTAATCTTCATTGTCTTCATCATCAGGCCCACAATTGAGGTCCATTGGTTCTCGACGACCAATATAAGGTCGCTGATCTCTGGCATAGTCGCCGGACTTACTTATGAATAGCTTCGCGGGCCCTCCTAGGCTCGCCTATGAGCTTATTTTTCTGAGGCTACTCCTGGTTACGTCTTATTTCCCTGCCGCGGAATTTTGGCCAAGTTCACGCAATCTACTACCATGTGCACATGCATGAATACTTAGCAGTAAGACATATCGGTATAAAGAAGGTGGTAGTGATATATCTCGATGGCTATAAACAGATTAGAAAATTTTTTTCAACATTTACGTTATCCGCAAATATACACTCTACTAAATAAGTTGTTAGGAGACACTGTGATGTTCCTGTAGTACTGCACTGTGAGTAACATATCGTTTCCTCAGTAAGCGCAGTTGTCGTTCAGTTTCTGCAATTTGCTTGGGTTGATAACAGGCTTCCCTTGTAGTGCAGCTTTCCACTATGGACCGCAAGCTTGATGTTTTGAAAGGAGTGGTGATAATGTAGTGACTGTAGTGACTGCAACGGACGTATTGCAAGGTTTGAACTATCATACTACGAATATGCTCAGAACATTTTATCTGAGCATTCTATGGACGCGAAGAGCTCCATTCTTCATGCTGAGCTGTTGTTTCCGAATATTTCCGCTTTTTGGACTTTAAACTTTGGTGTTTTTTTTAAATAATAACAAGTAGGAAGAAAGAAGGTCAAAACAGTTACATCTTCTGTTGGAAAAGAATTCAGTTATTTTTTACGCAATTTGAAAACTATAGATCGAAGAATGAAGTTAACCAGAGCTTTTCCAATACCAGTTGTTATTATCTCTCTGAACTTTAGGGTATTTCACAAATAATGTTGAATTAAATAACCCTTAACATTTCCACTTTGATTTGCATATTTTCAGCCACCAAAGTGCGCTTTCACGAGGGAAGAAATACTCAAAAGATATGCTTCGAAAACGAAGACCGACTCCATTGAAGATAGCATTATAGCAGGTTCGGCAAGCAAACAAGTGATGATTGGATAGATTAGCTATGGAATAAGAAATTTATGAAAGGTTTCTCTGCTTATTATCAATTATCAATAGGAACAATCAATAACCGTTATGAAAGACAAGTGAAAGTGGCAAGTGAATGGATTACCGTACACAGCAGCGAGTACACTAACATAGAACAATTGAATGAACGTAAGATATTTACCTAAAAATGGAGCCATTTAGGCAATTTTACGCTCCGTTTGACGCTTTCACATCTTTGAACTAAGAATCTTCAGACTTTCATGCTGTGCTGCATGGTGAACTCGGTGTTTAGGATTCTTTTTGTCAACGACAATGGATGGAAACAAAGAGGAGGATATTCAACCAAGTCCTAAGCACTTCTTAATGGAAATATCTTATAGGTAAACTACTTACTGAAACACTTTAATGTCTAGTCTTCATAAAAGGCAGTGCTCGCTCTAGCGCGTTTTTCTCTCCTTGTTTGTCTTTGATTTGATAGATTTCTTCTATGAAGATTCCAAAAAATTTGACCGAGGATATTTCAAGTGACAGTGACAAGTGCGCTCGGTTCTTGACGATCGCAAGTTTGCTACCGTATGACTAGGTTTTCTTCACGAAGATAAGGATTAACGGAAATGGTTTACGCGTAGCAGGATCTCCTAATGTAGCTTCTCAAAAAGAAAAGCATTCACACTTGCACTTCAATTGTTCTCTGCACATTATTAGCAATCTTTCTATAACGTTTTTTCTCAGTTCAGCTTATGGAATAAAATAGTCTAATTGAATCTTTCATGCATTTCAAATTGCAGCCCTCCAAACGAAACAAACAGCAGGAGAACGGAATCAGAACCACACGAGATAATATCTTCAGTTGGATTGGTCACAAATCAATCATCAGCTACTCAGTCCTCTTCAAGCATGTTTGCCGTCGAAGCAGAGAAGTAGCATTTAAATCTAAGCAACTTCAAACAGGCATGAATAGAGTGGAAGAAGTTAGGAAGGGTTTCTATAAAATCCAGATCCAGAAAACCAGTGTCGTGCTTTCATTTTTGTTCCATAACAAAGCTCAAGCTCTGAATTCCTTGTTCCTGCATCAAGAAAGCCACAGCAAAAGTTTATTGTAGCGAAGAAATATTCATTTTTCTCATCGCCGCCTATTACGAGGAATCGTAATGCTTTTTACCACATAATATAGTTTCCCTGAGAAGCAGCTAATAAGTATTTCTCCTATACCAACCCTTGAATGATTTCAAATAACCAAGTCTTTTTAACTATCAGGGATCAGGCAGTCAGCCGTGGTAATAAGGAATTGCTACAATTAAAAATACAAACACGAGCAACATTATATAAAACTACTTCTATAACCATAGATTTCAAGGCATGTTCCGCTGTGGGAACAAAAATCACAACGTCCATGAAAAAGAGTGATACTTTTTCAAGGGATTTCAGTGGCGCAGAAATCGGACAGTAATGATGGTGTGGTTGAAGGTGATCATCGAAAAATTCTATGGAATAATTCTAAACGCTTAGCTGACGAGAAATTTAGAAAGGGGTGGAAGGTTCTCCTAAGGAAAAATTTCCTTGTAATGTTGTTGATGCCAGACTGTTAGGACTATATGCGCTTTCTCATTTGCAGTAATGGTTTGAATTCAAATGCTTATTTATGTAGGTAAAAGGGGAAGAGACATGAATTATTCGCTCCAACGCACCTTTAAGTGCCCGTTTTCAAAAATCATCTTCACTACAACTTGATAGTGGCTGGTGTACTGCTGTTGTTAGAGGTGTTCTTGAATAAGCAGTATATCGATCGCATTTTTGATCCGAGATCAAGTGATGTTAGCAAGAGATACTATAAATCATTGAGATGAGTGTTGCAAATTTTGACGATTTTCAATAGCTCGGTCTTTTTAAAGATAGTCAAGAAGTATAACTCGTATGAAATGCTGAGATATTTGCAAAACTCCGGACCACAGGTGTATGCAATGGGGAACGAACACGCGCTGTTGTCCTTACCAGGGAGCAGCGCACTTCACCACTACATCATCCGGGTCCTTCGCTTTGCATGTCTCTCAGCTAGTTCTATCGATCTTTTTGTAATAAATCGTAAATCGTATCGTATCGTAAATAAAAGAGTTAAGATTGTGATTATAACTAAGCCTCAGCTTAACTGGGTTCAATGCCGATATTGGCTCCCCAGATCAATCCCGTTGACGGGTGATTGCTGATGGCAAAAAGATCGATAGAACTAGCTGAGAGACATGCAGAGCGAAGGACCCGGATGGTGTAGTGGTGAAGTGCGCTGCTCCCTGGTAAGGACAACAGCGCGTGTTCGTTCCCCATTGCATACACCTGTGGTCCGGAGTTTTGCAAATATCTCAGCATTTCATACGAGTTATATTTCGCAGCATACCCTGCCATTAAGAAGAAAAAGGCAGTAAATAAAAGAGTTAAGATAGTCAAGAAGATTAATAATTGAGTGCAGTATGACTTCATAGAAGCTGATATATTAATATTAATTCTTTTATTATCTTGGCAGATAAGCCACATTTTTTAAGGAGTAATACTCTTATCTCAACAGTGTCTACTGTGAAGTATTCGGCGACGACAGACGCTGGTCGAGTGACGGTGGGAATTGTAAATACGGAGACTGGGAACGAACACTCCGCAACTGTAATGTTATTTTTCCCTATGAAAACAAGATGCCAAGTAAACACGCTATATTTTTGTGAACAAACGACATTTTTATTTTGTAGGAAATACAACGTATTCACAAATTACCGGCGACGCTAGGATTCTACACTCGGAATATCACGACGACGTACGTTTTCTAGAAACAGTGACCATTGTCGAGTTCCTCTACATAAACACAAATTTAGGAATGCGAACACTCCCAGTATTTCACCATTTAAACTTATTATTTACTGCCTACTCTTGTTAATGTTAGGATATGTCTCGTAATAATTCTCCCAGTATTCTGCTGCCGTATTCAGTGTTGTTGAAACCCAGTACAATGAAAGTTCGCTTAAGCACATAGAGGCAGATGTTCGAAAGCAAGGAATTTAGTGGATTATGCCTCTTTAGTCGGTCCATTCTCGGCAGATATTCTGTCGAAGAACAAAACCGATTTTTCTCACAAAACACTTCGGGAACCATATATTATTCATGGTATAAAAATCTTGTACTTTATTATGAAATGAATTTTCTCCTACTGTTTAACGAAAATCGGCAACGTAAATATTTCATAGAAGAATTTGCTTTAAGGCATTCGTACACCCTACGTTCATTAGGAAAAGAAAACCAACACAGTATTTGGAGGCAGAATGTCACGCATATTAAACCCATGCAAGTAGGGATAATATTTTAGAAAATCATCGTTGCTCGGTACCCAGCTTACGAGGGTTCAGCTTAATCAAAATCAAATTCTTTCCTCAGATAACCCAGCTTTAGAGAACGAGGCAAGCTTTTTTTGGTTTAATCTGCAAGACAGTAATTTTTGAATGTCCTTTAACTAAGCTCCTTTATTAGATAACGCCAATGGATGTGTATGTGGAGAAATCGACTGAAGAACCAATGGAAGTGGAGCCCGTAGTGCATGAAGTCATCAACAACAATGTGAACGCTATACGAAGTTCGCAATTCGACATTGAATTTCATGCAAATGAGCTAACTCCTTAAAACATGCTTCCAGATAATAAGTTTGCAAATTTTCGCGATTGGCTATTGGACGACAGAACGATAAATGAAAGTGATATACACCACGAACGTCAGCTCGGATGTTCAAATGCCACCATCATTGCCGTTAGTCGTAATACAATAATGCTCGTTTGGTCTCACTTAGAATGAGGAAGAAACGACAGAGAAAGAAATGATGGCATAAGCACAAAGAACCACGTTTGCTTGTTCATTTTCTTACTGCTTCACGAAAGCAAAGCGGTTAGTTTGCTCTAAGCAGTGAGAAAATGAGAGAGGGAGAGATAGAGAGAAAAGAAAGGAAGAAAGAAAGAAAGAAAGAGAGAGAGAGGGAAAGCTTGGGGTGCAGCAACAGATAAGTAGGTCGATCAGTCTGTGTAAGAAGGAAAGGGAAAACTGCTCTTGGAAGTGATGAGTTCCAAATTTTGAGTTCTTGAATAATGTCAGCGATCACGCTGCAAATAATATAAAGTGTTTCAGTCTCATCGAAATTGCTCATGGTCCGGTATTGAGCATCTTCTAGTTGTGTGGTCATTTACTTCTCTTCTTTTGTGGATTATTATGATAGCCGTTTGTTTCTACCGACAAACCAATAAGCCCACATGGGCGGAATTTCGGTTAGTGATAATACTATTCATGATTTCTATAAAAAAATCCTTCACTATCTAAACCAGTTTGTTTTTTTCTGTGTTTGAGACCCTACCTATAACGACCTTCACAGAAAAAATGCTAAAAATGCTAGTCTTGTTGCTGACAATATGAATTCGAATAAGTGCTTTCACACAAACATCTATTTGCAGTAAAGAAAGGTTGAAAAGGTCTTGAATACCGTATCGACAAAAATTGATGGCGTTTATTATTTTGGAGAGTCGCCTATAATTTCATTCTGGTATAAGAAAATGAATTTTAACACATCGGGTTAATACATATTTCGTCCGCCTGCGTTAGGAAAAATTAAGCTTTCCCAAATGAGCCTCACGATCACGAAGGACAGGCAGACCAGTACTGGTTCTCATTTTAATTTCCTCACCAGATATGTCTAGTGTATAGGGTTGTAAATCGTAAGATAGTCTAAAGCACTCTATCACGACTATTTCGATGGAAGCCGAGATTTTAGCGAGTGAAGTGTTCGAAGTCTTCACAAATTGATTTGTTCGAAGAATTTTGTTCCAGAGAACGGGAGCTGCAACGCATGACACAGGCGCGAGTCATTCAACACGACCATCCGTGGATTCACACCGATGCATTTGAGGAGACCCAAAATAGAAGTAAAAACGATCTCACCATGCTACAAAACACTTACTAGATAAGAGATGCCGCAGCGTTCGAATTAAACTCACCTATTCACTTCAAATCATATTCGTGTAGAATTGAAGCGTGCTTCAATTCTGCCATTTAAGATTTGCTTAGGAAATTGCAAGCATTTTGTCGCTCTCCATTTAAAGTCTGTTTTGTGAACACTAATGACGAGCCAAACTTTTTGCAATGATTGAATCTCACTTGTAGAAATAGCTTTTGCCAGGAACGAGTGCACTTATTTGTAAAACTATTTGTGTCATCAGCACTTGTTTGGATGTCTGCAAATGTGAATAAGTAAAATAAATATTTCTTAGGAATGTTTAGCATAGTAACACTTTTGTAGGTCTTTACTGGATGGCTCGTTTTCACAAATTATACGGCTTTAGGCAGAATTTGCATCTGAATGATATTTTGTTGCACTGGAACTTTTTCTTCTTATACACCCAAGATTGCTGTGCTGTGGAGTGCCGAAGTCGTCATCACCACAGTCATTGGCCCTTGTGGACCCACTTGGCTTGCCGCCTTGCCACTTGGTTTCCTTCAAAACTACGACGATGGCTAAAGTAGGTCTGCTGGCCATTGGTATGGAAAGTCAAAATATTCTTCAGTGGGTAGGAGAAAGAGTATCTTGCTTTATGATGTTCATTTGAAAACCTAGAGTATGTCTGCGAAACACTGGCAATCTCTTCAAGCTGTTTTATGATTTATATGCCGTTAGTGCACTTCGTTTTTGACTGCAAGAGTCGTATCATTGCGAAGAGAGAATGGCTTATCGGTAAGTTAAACAGTGCACACTATAGATTAGCGAATGCCGATTGTGGTCAGATTCTTCTTCCTAACCTTTTCCATCCTCTTCTTTCATTTCAATTCAACTATTTCAAAAAAAGAAAAAAACCACTTTTTGTAGACGAACATTTCTTCTACTGATGTCTTCACTGTAAGATATTTCATGGAGAAATAACACGATAATAAACTAGTTTTTTTCAGTATCTTGGCTTTAACCTTGCTGTCCTTCTGCAATTTTTATAAATTCGTCATCGGTCTACTGTAATCGGTCGAGACAAGTTAAAGTTCTCAGCCCGAAGATCTTTTTCTTTCATGAATCTACCATATTTCTTAGTCTTGATATTTGCTGTAATATAAATGCTGCAGAATTAAAAATGGCACTTTTCAGAATGACGACAATACCGGATGAATTCCTCAACACACATTTCATTGAAGCCAAAGAAGAAAATCTGGACGAGTTCCTCTCCATACGAGGTTTGCGCTTTGTCCTATTTGCATTTCATCGGTTGCCCACACTTTCTCTCCAGCCTTACAAAGCCTCCTTCCTCTCCGAGATCGGGAAATTCCAGACTCGTATGGGATGGTTCACTCAATCCACAAAATCTGAGGATTGCCTGTCATGAAGACTTGGGAGCGCCTCAGATTCTAAGGAAGATCAAAAGTCTTTACATACTAGCCAAACCCACATATAACACAGTAAATCTTTGTGGACAGGGATTCGAAGAAAGAAGTCAATTTCAAGTGCTGGAATCCGCAAGGCATACAGTGCAGAGTGGTGTAAAATAAAGAAAAATGGAGAAATCGATTGCTCATCTATTTTAAAATCTACGTGTGTACAACAATTGTACACAATAACGTAAAGTCGTTCCTCTATCAAATAGCAGTCGAATTTATAACTTCGTTCTAAGTTTTATGTTTCTAGATTGCTGGAAATCGTATAATATCTAGGAAAAGAAGACTATAAAGGTTTAAAAATGCTTTGTCAAGCATGCATTTTACTCACTTTGTTTTTGTCCATGAAAAGAGCAGAACCATCTATGCAGCTGAGAAAGAGAGGTTGCTGATAAGCGGAAGAAAAAGGAAACAAAAAAAAGTGAAGAAAGAGTCGTAGAGAGCAAAATTTGGGAATATAAATGATGGACATTGTTGAAGTTTTTTGCAATCGGTGATGAAGAATTGTCTCTAGATTACTCTGTGCACTCTGACTGGATTCTGCAGAACTCCTCCGCGTTTATATAAAAATAGTCGGCTTAAAGTACGATGTGGATTGATAAATAGATGTACATTGAGAATGCTGCCAAGGCAAAGCTTGTCTACGTGAACATGTGAATCACCTTTCAAAAGGAGCGAAAAAATCGATGTTCCTGACCAGTTTTGTGCTTGCGAGGAGGTCATCTCTAAGAGTTCTCTATAGGCAGTTCTTCTGGTATCCGTATTTCATTCAGTGAGCTTTTCATGAGATCCACTCAGATGATACACACTTCATCGCCTTTGTTTTGGTTTCGTAACGATAAGGTGTCCACATTTTCCGTTCCAAGGTCTCTTATGAAGGTTGGGGATTTGCACGGAATTCCCATGACCGACTTTCTGTTAACCTCGGCATTAATTGATAATTCAATGTTTTTCATCAATAAGCAGACACCTCGTTCTCGAAATGTTCAACACTATTTAAGCTCCAAGCTTTTTCGTTTAGGTGTACCATGGTTAGCCAGGAAAATGATATCTGGAAAAATGCGAAAAGGCCAGTTTCTGATGAAGTCAAACTCGAGCGGCGGCTACACGTGAGTGAATTGGCATTTTTCGACAATGGTCAACTCCTATTTTATTCAGTGTGTAACCCAGAATATGTTAAATACCCTTCGGCGAAATAGACTAATAATTTTCCGCATGAACGAGGTGACACGACGTAGGTATAAAACTTCATATACATGTATACTCACTTGAATTCTTGGAAGTCCCCACTGGCTGTGTGGACCCCAGCATAATCTCCATTTCTTCGGAGTTTTGTTGGCTTAACTATTGTAGTTCTCTGTAGCCCCGCGGTCAGCCAGGCCAAAGTCTGGTTCAGGTCGCCACCACCTGAGGCAGTTTCCGATCTTGTGATCAGAGGGAGGTTTCCCACCGTGCGACCAGTTTGTGCCAGAATGGTGGTGAATCCTAGTATTGGTTCACTCTTAGCTGGGCTGCCTGATGGAAATGCCTGGCCTCTTCTGAGCTTGGGAAACCCTGTCGGTTGACGAATCCCCTTGCGGTACATCGCAATCCAACACCCAGGAATAACTGCCAGTCACGATGAGGCTGTAAATTGCTAGAAGGATTTACATATATGGATAAAGCTCTAAATGCTCTGGTGAACAAACCCTGAGGGATGCGTCATGCATTCGACTTCATTAGGCTTCATTTGGAGGTGATTGAATGCATATCTGGCCTTTACAATGAGTTATGGTGGCCTACCGATGTATCGAGCCAGTGCTGCTGTCCTCCTGGACAAGTCTGGTACCAATTTGCCAACATCGTAGGAATGGAAGGCTTGGAGAGCCTGGGTGCGGGGTCGATCTCCTGCATATTACAAGAGGCCTCCGACCACTGCGCTACACGCGCCATTTGTGCGATATAAATAAAACTTTTTTATAACTTCCATACCACCTGTCACCTGTCGCCCCTCGATCGTCAAGCGACTCAAGTGGCCGACAGTAGATTTTCCATTTCCGCTTGTCAGGTGCAATAGTTGCCTGGTGGGCTCTGCTCGCTATAGTGACTCCCTGAGTATCACATCTTTTTTCTAGGAATTTCGAGTAGCAATTTGGCTTTGGGTTCTTGGTATTCCTGAAGAACCTCTGACACCCGAGAAATCCAGCTACTAATGGCTTTTGTCTATCGGTTGCCGTTCATACGCATTACATTCCAGGCCCACCTTATCTTCTGCAGTTTCGCGTATTGAACAGTATACTTGATTTTCGATTCCTGACGTCGGTCGTAACTCCGGACCACTTCACGACTCGGGATACCCTAAGCATCGTCCTTTCGACTGCGCGTTCATTAACACTGAGTGAACGTTCCATCTGCTAAGGCAGTGACCAGGTTTCTAACACGTACGTTAGCGCAGGAAACATCGTTGAGTCGAAAAGATGGGGCACAGAGTCGGATGTTTTTATTCTCTTCACTACACTCTCGATGCTCTTGAAAACTTCCTTAGCCGCTTGTTTCCTCCAGCTCAGAATGCAACAGACGGCAAGCAGATTGTGCGATTCACGGTCTCGATGATCTTCCATCAAATGGGAACCTTGCATTCTGACAGATACGGCCGCGATAATATGTTTATGAGGACTGGCGGATAATTCTTCAGGTGTCCAGATCTCATACTTTGGAGATCTGGTTTTCTTCGATTCTTCACCGACGAAACGCCGGGTCGGATTTCAAAAGGAAGAACCAGTGGTACAACATGTCCATCCTGCTTTATTTCATACGAGGACAAGACGAAGTGGGTCTTGAAGAGATCTGAGTAGTATTCGTGAACAATTTTCTTCATTCCCTTTCTGGACGCTGTAACTGTTACGTCTGGGAGTCGGAGTGTAATCATTTTGGTCTTGCAATTGCTGAAGCTTCGATGGGCATTACCAATGCTCTTCCAAGTCTCTGCAGCTTCGAGCATAGTTGTTGCTCTTCTCTGTTTAACATCTTCTTTTATCGCCTTTCTGCATTGTTTTTCAAATTTGGAGTTCAGCAGGCGGTAGCTCATGCATTTCAACGTCGGTGTATCCGCTCGAATGTTATGGATACAGACGTCTTTTGGTGACTTTCGAGCTTTCAGATCTCATAGCGCTAAAGTGAAGATATTTGGTGAGTCAATCGTATTCCTCGCTGATGTTACGAAGAACGGCTCCTTCCCAACGGCCAACGAATGAACTCGATAAACCCCAGTTCGTGGTGGTTCTGAGACTTCGTTTTTTGAAGTTCGGGTCTTCTTCTCCTTCCCCCAAAATACGAAAGCTCTCGCAAATTTGGGGATGGTGTGGTCCCGTATAGATTTTCGAGACCACAGTGACATCGGTCAGGCAAAACCTTCGACTTCCTATGATGTGGTCTATTTCGTTATCTGCTATCCATCGGAAGACTCCCATGTCCAACATTTGTGGTGGAGCTCCTGGAATTGTGAGTTACCATGAATGTTCTTGATCGTCATGATAAGCTCAGACGGCAACCGACCATACCAGTTCCGTTTTAATCGTCCCAATCTAACATTTTTCAGGCCCTTTTCTAGTTCCAATCTTAGCGTTGTCTTCAATGATTAACTTTTGAAGTGCATCGTCTTTCCTGTAGAGCTTCTCCAAGCACATACAGAACACTTCGTCTTCGTCTTCGTCCTAGCATGATATCGGTGCTCAGACAACAAGGATTGTAACACCATGTATTGATCCTTATCTCTTCAACTGTAATTGTTTGATTCGGTGTTCTTAGTTATTCGAATGAATCCATGTTCATGGCCAAACTCGTGTTGACGAGAACGGTAACGTTGGCGACTCCTCTACTGTTGTATGTTCCCAAGAACATTTCTTTTCCGGAGTTACACAAGCCGTTTAATGGGTGCCATCTTCTCTTCTCAGCATGTCCGATGACGTTGTACTTATCCTTCTTACCTGCATGATCAAGTCCTTTATCGAGAACTCAGATGCAAGTAAGAATGCATTGTAGTTACGGATTATAACTTTAATCCTTTAAGATTTATAGAGCCTAGAATAGCCTTAAAATTTTAGTTACCTCTCCGTTCTCCTCGTACACAACGCTGCCGTATCGGAGGCTCTTTCGCGATCAGGGGCATGAAACTCTCTTATTTTACTGTTTATTGTATGATTATATATATATATATATATATATACATATATGCACATATATATAACACTAGACAAATTTCTACATATCACATATATATACATACATACATATATAATTGAAGTGAATAGGGGATGTCTACCATTGTTTCATTACAGCTATACAACTGGCGATCCAGCAAAAAACCTTCAATATAGCTTCAAGCTCGACGAACCTTTCACCGACATTGGATATGACGGCAAGAAACACAAGGCTAGCTGATTTGATTCACATTTGCATGTATTTTCGATACCAATTACTGTTACACCACATAATACACATGTTCTTGAACACAAAAACATTAACTCCCACGACCGACTTTCTATTAACCTCGGCGTTGATCAAGTAATTCTTCGTATTTTTGTTGAGCAAACGCGAGGTGTTATTATTCTTTATTCACGAATAAGCTGACGTTTCGGCGGGTTTCGCCTTCCTCAGAGCCGCATTCTATGAGGTTTCCACTAAGTATGTCGCGTAGAGACCAACCGCACAGAAATCACATGGAAGTATAATGTCATTAACCGCCGAAACGTCAGCTTATTCGTGAATAAAGAATAATAACACCTCGCGTTTGCTCAACAAAAATACGAAGAATTACAAAAACATTAATTAAAACGAATGACATTAGCTACAATTGAAGCCGAAGTGTTATATTATTGAATTAATACAAAATTGAGACTCTATTTTACTTCCATCTCAACTTAATGTTAACAACTCTGTAGTAATAATTCAGATAACTATCGCTATGGAAGGGAACAGGCTCAAGGAAGTCCATGAGAACTTGGAGCGAAATATAGGAGAAGACGTCTTCTACTTCTATATTCAAAACAACACGCTAATTTCTGTAAGTCTTTGACATGGCTACCAAACTATGTGACAGACCCTACAATGGAGAGTAACTACCTTAACACTTTTAGTGACTTACTCAGGTACTCAAACACCCTGTGTTCACGAATCTTACGATCCAAGCACAATGAGCATTTAACTTGTATTTTGCTGATTAAGTAAATTTATTTGTGGAGCTCCAAGATAGTTATATAATAGCACACTAAAGGCAGCCACCAAAGCCGGCGAATTGGAGGTTTTCCTTTCTGAGGCTAGGTTTCTTCTATAATGGAAGCTAGTCTTTGCGCAAACCTGGTTGGGAAAAAATCTCTCAGCTTCACATTGTTGTTTGACACCATTCCTTCCGATGGTCTACCGCCTCGTCGTGGATGGGTTATGTTCCAGGGTGTCGGACTGCGATATACAGCGGGGATTCATCCCTCAGGCAGGGTCTCCCAAGATGAGTGATCCGGCGTTTCCATCAGGAAGCCTAGCTAAGAGCAAACCAATACCAGGATCCATCACCATACTGGTAATAAATTAGTCGCATGGTGGCAAATTTTCCTCTGATGCACAAGCGCTGCGAGTGCCCGTGGTGGTGAAGACCTGGGGCAGACTTTGGCCAGACTGACTTTGGAATTCCAGAGAGCCACAATGGCTTAACCAACAAATCTCCGAAAATGGAGATTATGCTGGAGTCCGCACAACCAGTGAGGACGGGTCACTCAAGTATCAAGTAAGTATCAAGTATTTGAAACCTTTAAGCGTTCCCTTCCATTGAGGAGGCTTTCATTCTAAACGGAGAAATTGCTCTTACATTTGAGGGCTGGTCGAGATCACCATGGCCAATATTTATTAACTTCCTTCACACCATTTGCTACAGCACTTTATAAACTCTCTTTTATGAAAAGGCAAAAAAGTAGCTGCGCATTTTTGCTTTGGAATGTGTAAAAATGTGTTACTCACCCAAATATCGATCAAAAACGATCTGAACTGCTTTTCTTGTAGTGGTTTACTACTATGGATTTAAGTGCTTTCAGATACTTGGGTATTTCTACTCAATGTAGGCTCTTCAATCTACTCAGCATCCATGAATCATTTGTGTTCGCATAAAAAGGATTTTTTAAGCAGATTATTCTTAGAGACGATAGTTGGATCGCCTCGTCACCCTAATTGGCAAGAATCATTGGCTCTAGAGAAAAGACCTATTACAGCATCACTGAAACAAGGCTTTAGGAAGAAGTTATTGTGCCATGAACTTCCAGTGATAGTCGAAAGGGGCAAAGTTGGATGTTTTGCAGTATCCGGCGCTACCACCTATTACGCCAGCACTTTTACTCTGCAAGGCAGTACCATTTTCATAATCGATTACTCCACTAGAAATTGGCCTTATCCAAATACAGCGCCATACACAATAATGCTTTTAAATCTGAACTTTTTTCTTTTCGATTACCACTACTTGCGAGTCTTACGGAATCAGTTGCGAGTAATCGTTTCGATAACAAAGCATAACTCGAAAATATCGTCGATATCGTATCCTATTTTTTTCTATCAACTTCAAATATTGAAAAAAATCCTTGGTTGAATTCAAATCAGACAGTGTTTTAATCGAAAGTTTTAATTAGAAGAATCTTTAATAGGCCTTTTTAAGAACTCAACGGTTGGTATCTTTCAGGAATGTGAGGTCAACGAAAATGGGAAAAGCTGTACCTGGCGGCGAACCTTTATCAAGAAAGCCGAGCAATAGGCCATCTTTTCGAAAGTTTTTCCTTAGAGCAATTCACCGCGATAAAGTTGTGATATGTATAAGTGTCAATTTCTGCTCAATTTTTGACACACAACGACAATTTGTTCACTTCATAGGACAACAATATCATTTTCATGGCATACAATCATTAAGGAATCTTTTAGATTCCTCCGACCTCTAGCTTTACATAATTTCTTCCACAACTATTCCTGCACTGTATGAGCGCTACCATTACAAAAAGTAGTCTTTGTAATTCTGCTATCGTAGACTTACCCAAGTAGTCCTCTATTCAGCACATTAATGTGATGTATCGGACATTAAGTAGAGAATCGCAAGCAGTGGTAATTGTTTCCTCCTCACACCCGCTTTAGAAGTGCTTTGTTTGTTTTACCGAAGCTCCGTCTGAGCTATAACACTTGAAGAATGGTTCTGAATTGATCGGATGATGCCTATAGAAACTATCGCTATCGTGCGCGTTTTTCTTTCCTTCACTTGGCAGAATTTTTTTCACACTAAACTGACGAATTACGTAGATGAACTCTCCGAACAGGTTTCACACATTCTTCAAACCTATGAATTTCAACATATCGATAAATGTACTTAGCCAAGTTCACTAAGACTGCACTAGGTAGGCGACCGCAATCTCTACGCCCTCACTGTCACTACTGAGAGAGGAAAACTTCCCTCGATGACGCTCGTTATAGAGTGTTATCGACACGGAGAGCGCCAACGTGGGCGGAATAACAGAAAGGGCAAAAACCAATGCGGCCGGCCTTCGAATAAAAGGAACGAGTGGCTGGCTATACTGTGAACACGGATGAGAAATCGAATTCTGACAGCAATGTCGGTCGCGGCACCGCTGCTTCACCATCCACGAATTCGTTCCGTCTTCTCCTCATTCTCCCTCTCTTTAGCTCCTTCTCGTCCGCTCCTCATCTGTCCCTGTAAATGATGAGCGAACGAGCAAATTACTTCGATATGTGCATATAGGTCGATTTATTATGAGAACAGTAACCGATTCGTTTACGTAACGTAGATTTTTCGCTCATAAAAAATCTCGACATAAACTAGAACAAGACGAATTCAATTGGCAATACATTCATAGCATCTCTCGAGCGAATAGTTATCAGTACCAGGACGACACGAAGACCCGATCAAACTGCGAGCAGTAGATGACCGAAGAACGGGCATGGAGCGAGAGGGCGCACACGAAAGTGCAAGTGGGCAAAGAGCGGGCGTACCCGGGCAGAGATCACGCAGCAGTTCGTCGCCCGGGTCGATCTGAGCCGTTCGCGACTCTCCTTGCCAGCCTCCGGCGCCCTTGCCGACAGGTCGGCAACATTACCCTCACCAGCGTTCCAATATTTCTAACTGGACAACAAGATCACCATATATTTTTAGTTCAGCGACTCACACTATTCTACAAAAAAAATGAATTCCCTTTTTCTATATCGATACGTGTACTGAATCCACCCACGATATCACCGATGTTGTCAGCTAACTGCCCTTCAACATCAAATGGTTTCAAGTATAGCTTTATAAATACAGCAAAATAGTATCTTGATGGCAATTTATTGCTGTTCGAATACTTATTTCCTCACGTTTTTCAACAATCTTAAACCCAATGAATACCTTTTTCATCGGTTTCTATCTACTAAACGACTAATACGACCGTCACAATAGGTGTCGTTAAACAAAGTTGAACACCACCTAAGTAAATGCATGTGTTCTACACTTGAGCAGTAACGCAATCTCTCAAACGTTAAGCCAGGTTGTCATTGTTGAAAACGAATACTGCTGCTCCAGAAACATTGTGTTTATGCTGGGTTGTATGCCAGAGTTCGAGTATTGTTAAGCCAAATCCTTAAGTGTATGTTTCTTATGTGTTTCTAAATGGTTTTTCAACACAATACTCCATGTCTCGTCAATGCACAGTGTTTCATGCTAGCTTGTCCTTTGTTGTTTACTATCCAAACCTTAGCACTTGGTATGAGATGTTGCTGCAGAAGCATATCGTCCGGGTAATAAACACTTAATACATGAGTCCTGTTTAGCTCAGCATCACCAAATTTCCATCTTCAATGAATCCATAAAACGTCTAATAATTGTCGCCATACATGGTCGATTTCAGTGATATATGTCAGTGAAATAAGTTCACCACAATTCGCCGTTTTCTGGATTAGCATACACATGGTTGCTAGTATACCCTTTATTCACAAAAGCTGACGTTCCGACGGATTAGGCCTTATTCAGAGCATGGAACGATCAAGTTATCTGCAATCCAATCAGCCAAACACTTCCACAACCCTAATAGAAAAATCATGAAACCTAGGTTTCAATCCCATGGAAAGCAAAGTAGCCTCCTTCCACACTCACTGCTTTCCATGAGTCTTCCACCGAGTACTTGACATAGAGACCAACTGCAAACAGTTCACATGAATAGGTAATGTGCCTCTATCACACTAAAATGTCACTCTTAGTTGTTGTACGGGATCACGTTTCCTAACGAGGCTTTACTCTCTGAAGTTCATTTTTGAATTATCGGAATTCATCTGGAATTCTTCGAGAGTTTTAAGGACTGAAGTTTTCGATTTTTATGCTAGAATGGTAACTAATACTTCAAAATTTTCCTCGTTATGTCTCTGTGTCCTACGAGCGCCCAGTGGGAGTATTTGGTTTAACTTTAAGTTTACCGACTCGGTATTATTTTATACGTACCTACGGTGGTCTACCAGTTTCCTTAATATATTGCTGCCGACAGGCTCTACAAGAGATTGGATAAACCGTATCCGAACTTATGCAATCATTCTCTCTGCAGACAAAGAAAACTATGGAATTGTACGTTTCGCGTAGACGTTTTACAAATGGTTACAAACTAGCTTGCGTCTTGGAGAGGTCGGCACTAATTCAATGACTGCTCTCGATTTCTTTAGACCATACCGCCCCTTTTTAATCAAAGTTTTATAGCTGCACTTACTTCGTCGAAAATGAATGGCAGGGTTAACGAGACCTTATCCTCGCTAGAATTATTGTTTTAGGGCGTGGTTTTTACTTTGCATCTATCCCGAAGAGCCACAGTTTCCTAGTCGTTGGAAATGGTTGTTTGCCGGGCCAGTTTTAGGAATTCTTCCTTCTGCTGCGTTCATGTCCACACACTGGTGTCTGTTGGTAACATGTGTATTAGAAGCGTCCCTTTTATCCACGAGGGCTGAGAGGAGAAGTAATGAACCGGTATGTTTCTACTACTTTGCTTTCGTTTCCAGTTTTCACTACCATTTAGTGATGTAGCCGTTTTCGGGTTTATTTGAACATTCAAAAATGGAAGCCAGTTGTTTTCGGTTTCTCTGGGGTAGATTTTATGCACTTTGACTGTTCTTTCCATAACTCAAAACATTTGTTCATCTTCTCCTGTGTGAAGCGGACAGCGAAACAATCATCTCTGTATCTACGGGAGAGTAATGGCCGGAGATCGGTTACTGTTAACGTTAAACACGTTGTTTCACTCTAAACGGTAACTGATGCTTTAAATTCATAAATTTGTTAAAATGCATCTGATCTGGCCGTCAAAGTTTCTGCCCTTGGTGAAAGCCCAAACCAACATACTACACAGAGGAACATAAATAGACCAAAAATGGAAGGAACATCATCGTCGAGGCAGTGCTTTCTTGGATACTTTTCTACCAACGGTGTCGACACGTTTACAAGAACCCCGTATTACGACATTGGAAGTCGTTTGTTACTACAGTACGATTTTCCCGCTACTTGAAGTCGGTGAGCGATCACTGGGAAATGCGGAAATACAACTGCGAAAGGAGATGACGGAATGACTCAAAGCGTGTTACTTGACAGCGATGAGTCAGTCACGCTGCTGTTTGTTGGCTCTGAGCGTACACGAAAATGTGCCTGATTCAACGTCTTCTACGATGTATTAAATATATAAGCATAACACCGCCGTGCCTACTAGGTTTCAGTCGGTGGACATCTGCGGAGATCTTCTCCTGAACCACTCCTATTCCGTTGGTAAGCCACTACCATTTGAACGGGCAAGTACAAGTCCAAAACTCGACAAGTTAGGCATTTTATTGTTTACCGCCCAAGCGCTTGACCAATGAGGGAAACTTATTTGAAGAGCTACATGATAGTTAGTGGTAAGCTTCTCGATTTATTCCGTTTATTCAAAAGAACCCCATAATCTTAGTGAATGCGTATTTTTTCTATATACGTGAAATGTGAAAAGTAGCATCAGTTTGATTAACAAGATAGTGCTTAGATGTTTTGAAGTATTGAAAAACTGTTGGGCGATAAGTTTGGGGGATTACGGCAAATTTTCCGGCCCCTGCTTTAGAGAACAAAATTCAAACTAAGAGAACACTTCGCATGAATATTGTCAATTGTGGAAAGGCTACGTGTTGTGATAAATCACAAACATATAGTCTAACATCGGCCTTTAGGATGGAATTCTGTGCTTGATCATTAGCGTCGTTTTATGTGTAGACGCAGTATTCAGTGCTGAACATCATTCGTTTGATGACGAAGGAAAAAAGACCGTTTAGCGTCAGTGCTTCAGAGTTGATGTTTACTGTCCAGTTGTCAGCTTTTAATCTGGCAAAAAACTACCGCTTAATTCGTCATTGCTATGAGAATCTGTTGCAGCGGTTGTAGAAATGAGTCAGTCATCTGGCGCCCTCTATCGTGCTCAAATAAAAACTATATCTTAACGTCGCGTAACTGTCATAAATTTTGATGTCGTTCTGCCAAAATGTGTTGCTGAACAATAAGTAAACTTGATGTATGTACTTTTTAATAACAAACTAATAACTTCTCTGTAATTCTATTTGATTTTCATTTGGTAAATAAATGCTAGTGGTTTTTTGTGACCATAAACATGAATAGAGACTTGCAGTGAACAGTGAACGAGTCGGTGCAATATGTTGGTTTTCTCACTCACGACCACGTCCACCTCTGTTTTTCTCATTTGGTCACAGAATGTGACTGTTGTTCCGTAGAGATGGGAGCAATTCTCCAGAGCTAGTAAATACTTCATTGTTGGTGCTTGGAAAAATTTCGTTCCCTCTGTTGCATAATAGCTGCGAGAGAAACTGTTTCAACATCTAACAGCGAGATTGTTTAGGAGAAATGTAGTTGCTTTGCTAAATTTCAATGAATCAGTCTGAGCAATAAATTTATACTCACGCACAGAATCTCAACAGAATGGACTTTCCCTTCCCACACCATGAGGACTGTCGTTCTATCATTCTCGGCTGACATTTTTCAGCACCTAGTGTGACCGTTAATACTCCTCGCAATGATCCAGTTCACCTATTCCTGATCGATTCCGCGATTCCTACGCTATCCGTCTGTACTAATCCTGTTGATGTTTTCTAATTTTTGTTTTTACCTTTAATATATACCGTCGATGCTTAATGGAAGTGAAGCGGTGGCAGCGTTCCGGTTAGTCACGGGGATGACACAACCTTTCCAGGCAGAAGTTCGACCCTCCGCCGTTCCAACCAAGCATATCGTTCCTCTAGGGTCGCGAATTGGTAGCACACTCATTTGGGACAAGCTGGCGTCCTTCACACGGGATCGACCTAGTATCTAGTGCGGCTATCTAAAGATTCCAGTGAGAATCGACTGCGGCAGTATGACAACCATCAAGAAGACGGAATGATCCTCAGACAGTAACCGATCGAACAAGCAAGAAGAGTTCGAAGACATTCGTGCATGGAGAGTGCAAAGAAACGAATCCAGTGCGAGAAATATTGGAATCCGCACAATGTGGTGAATGTGATGTTGGGTCATGTAATGAAATAATAATAATAAAATAGATGCTTAAATAGAGAATGGCATCAGTTTATATTGGTTTCCATTGTGTAAAAACGACTCATTTGAGCATTTATCACTCCTGGAACAATGCAGAAATCAACTTCGAATTTTTATGGAAATAAAAAACGATCGATTCTGAATAATTTGCCCTTAACCTACACTCTATAAACTCCAGAATCTTACCCATTTGCTTGTTGAGTGGTCGATTATCCATTATATATGGTGGTGAAATATGCCTAAACGTTTTGAAATTAGGAGGACTAAGGAAATTGAAGCACTTCGTAGACATGCCGCAGTTGTGCGGCTAGGACTGTTTAGCTCGACAGGAGCGTTGCACACTGACGTCGTGCTTCCAAAGGCCTCTGAAACCTGGATCGAATTCGCTTTTGGACTGTTATTCTCTAGGACTGGAATCCATAGCCATCGCATACTCGTGTAAACACGACGCAAACCACCATTAACGTGAAATCACTTCGGAATTTTTTTTGTCATCAGACGAACACATCTGGTGTACACCGCCTACTCATTACCAGTGCGCCTGATACTTGGAACCCACGAATGCGAACTCTGCACAGATGATCTTTACACGTTTCCCGTGTGTAAACGTAAAGTATGACGAGTGCTCAGAAAATGCCTAGCTGAGCAAAGTATTCATTGTTCAAGCATTTGTTTTTATCATAAAGTCCGCATCATGAGTTTCTTTGGGAACGCGGCAACCCTTCGTTTTTCTTTCTCTGGTCTCGACGACTCTTTCCATCTGTGCTCCACGATTGTAATAATTCTTCTGATCTTCATTGGTTTTGTAATCACACGTCAGCAATTCATTGAAATAGTTGACAAATGCTTACGAATTTGCGAACTGGATAGGATGTGAAAATTAATCTACAAGGAGCGATCATAGTGTTCTAAATACTCCATCATTTCCATTCTATAAGAACTTCCCTTGAAAATGTTGCATCGTTTCAATGGTTTCATATGGTGCTGGTCGAGCGAAATTCAGTATTTTGATTCAGAAAAATGACAGTAGTGTTGGTTCGTTGACAAAAATGCTCATGGGCGTCTGTCGTTTTTCATGTACTGTTTGCCCAACATGTTTTTCCATGGGTGTATCATAGGCTGTTGCGCCCTTGATTGAGGAAGAACTGCAACGATCAGTGAACGAAAGCCTTAGTGCACTAACAGCACGCCACGCCCTTCCGCCCACTTGATGAACATTCCCAATGGGAGAATTTTTGCTTGCACGCACTCTCAATAACCGTTACATTATCTAGTCCCGAGAGTCACATCGAGTAAGCAATTATCGGTACGCTCAACTACTATTTTGTCGTTATTGGTTTTCCAGTCAGCAGCCAATATATTTTCAACAAATCAGCAGCAGGCGCTGAACTAACGAATGAGAACTATGCTGTTCCTTAATTTGGCTGCTCTTTGAAGCTTGCGGTGTTCATGCGCACGCGTACGATTGACACAAAGTTCTCTTTTCTCTAGGAACAACACTAGTTCCATTACCGCTTCTTACTACACGCCTTCAAAGAAGACGATCTTTGAACACTGCGCATTGAATCGGTCACATTGCGTGACGTACACCTCCTACCCCATAAGCGTGCTCATTTCATGCCATAGCTTCACAGATTCTTGTCAACGCTCGTTGTTTGTTTTGCATTCACAATTCAGAAGCATGTTTAGACAAATCGCATTGCATTTACAAGAACTCTGCTCATTATACACTTTACTTTATAGTTGCTTCAAACGTTAAGATTTCTTAACACAGGAGCCTACTGTTATTTGAATTGGACAGCGACAGTTCAACAATCCTGACCGCCTTCTTCGTTAATATTTAATTCTGCCCTTAGGTTAGCACACACAAGGATGTTACTCTACATTATTTATTGGTAACAGTTGACGTTTCGAGGAATTTCGCCATCTTCAAAGCCTTAAAAGGTCAAGTTTACCACAATCTAGTCGGCCAAACACTTCCTTAACAACAAAAGAAAAGCTACGATACCTATTTTCTAATCGAGTTGAATATAAAACATCTTCTTCACACATTCACATCTTCACATATCTTCTTCTTCACACTATCCTTAGAACTTATTGCTTAGTAATATGCAAACTGTAGCGTCAATATTCGTGCCTGAACTCTGCTAGCGCGAACTTCCGTTATCTGGAGGCTACGTGTTCCTACTTCACTTGATGATACGAAACCAACTTGATTTTTATGTTCCGTCGTTATTGTTGGATATTTCGTCTTTTCCCACATTTTTCATTTTTAGATGTATTTCGAGAGTATATTTTGATGACAACGGTTCACTTCTTCTTTTTTGTGACTGTTCATTAGCGATTATCACTGTATCAAATGAGTAGGTGTTGCAAAACGCCTACCCATTTCAACCTCATTCATCGAACGTGTTCTTCAATTCCCATGGTTTGTCTGCATACAAACGAACGTGAATAGTCACGCGTTGATTGTAATCATTAGGCAGGTATTTTCCATTATTGTAAATTTCATTAGGTTGCCTATGGCCTTTGATCATGGTCAAAACTACTAATTTCTGCATGACTTAAGCTGCTGTTGCCCTCCTGTTCTCCTTTGAATGTTCTCTGTGACTTTTGCGTGACGTAACGCGTTCCCGTATTCTTCGCATAGCTGTCTCTGTTCATTGATGTCCTGAACGAGGATCTTTGCTGGATTCGTGTGCCGACATCGCGTGCGGTATCGCACGCGACGTCGGCGGTTCACCCGATCGTCGACGTGGTCTTTGATCAGTGTTTATCGCACAGGAATGACGGACGCAGGCGGCGCCTCGACGGCCGCCTATGCCTTCACCGCGCTGATGGGTTGTGGATCACCTAATCAACCTGCATTTTCCATGGAATCTTTGCTCAAATCCGAGATCTCGGAATGCTCACCGAAGGTGGTGGCTAATACCGAGGAATCTACGATATGGTGAGCTGTTCTATGCACTTAAATTCCGTTTATTGTGTGTTTTTGCACAAGATAAGTTCTTCGTTGTTCGGTTTTGTGATTCATGACAACTATTTATTTGGCCGTTGGAGCTAAATTTCCCACTATTTGTGCGTTGATTTTTTTCTCCAATTTTATCTGCAGCCGCTGTTATACTTTATATTTAGAACGACATTCTCTTTATATTTGTCAGAGAATATATCGTATTTTGAAGTACAGCCCTGTTCGTACTGGCTGTTGACAGACTAGTTGGCTATGTTTACTCCAATGGCCTCGATTGTTAATTCCTTTCCGTTGCGAACGTTCGTTGTTATTCGCTTTTTCTCTCTAGTTTCCGCATCTGCTCGGCGCGCTTTTACTTGGCGGAGGGGAACGCACAAACAAATCATGTTTTTGTGGCACACTAAAAGCTATTCCTTGGAAGAAATGCTTGAGAATTAAAACTGCCTATACGCCACATCGAAAAACGTTGACCATTGAGTGTTATTTCTTGTGGTAATCATGTGTTTGTGGAACTACTATGTACGATATCACAGTGCAGTGTAAGCACAAAGAACACTCATTGCTCACCATTCGATAGAGCTGTTCTCAAAAATACACTTTCCTTTCTGTCCGTGTCAAACGATCACAGTACACCGGGCCTTAAAACGACCTCGTCCGGTCGTTGACCGATGATCATTGTATGGGCGCAAGTGTGCACGGCAATGCCCGCCCACGTCAGCAGCTTCTATCGCGTTGTAGCTATTCCATAAAATTCTGGATCACTGAGGACATTTTGAAGTATAAGAGCGTAATGTGTGAATAGGTGAACGTAGTAAGTAGGTTTTCGTGACCTCACTTGGAAGATAAGATCTCCGCGCGCAGACGGTTCTTCGACCACATTGTCATCTGCTGCCGTCTCTTCTGATATCTCCGTTGCCTTTCCTAAAGGATAGACCTTGATCTCTGTCACCCAAACAAACCAAATTAATATACCACATCTCAGGATAAAGTTCGTCGCCTAGAAGTTTACTACTTCTCTTCCAGGACGACGGCTGTTCCCAATATAGGTTAACTCTTAGTCGAGTTTCTGTATGGAGATGTGGAGATCCTCAGCTTAAGTGACCGTGCCAGGAGTAAGAGAAGGACCGAGCCTTAAACAGTTGATCTCTTTTGTACGTCATATTTCGATACCCATAAACATCTCCTCCTTCCAGCCCATCAGACAGCAAGCCATTAAGGATAAATAGAACTACTTTATTCAAACGAATACAGGATTGTGAAGTAAAAAAATTTTAGACATAGGCAATTATCCTTACTTGGAGGCGCGATATCTGGTGACCGTGGTAAGTATGCTTAATTACTTTTGCCTTGGTACAGTTTTCTTGTAAATAATGATTTAGCACAAAAGTGCGCAGTTTACTACTCATTCCACTATGGATTATTGTTATAGTTCGGTATGCTGCGATGAGGCAAGCGGTCGCCATTATGGCGTTGTTGCATGTTTCGGTTGCAAGGGTTTTTTTCGGCGAACGGTGAGATTAGATGTGTCCTTCCACAACTTTTCTTCTTCTGATTGCTTTTTCATAAAAACGAATGCCATTTCAACTTCTACAAAGTTTTCTTTCATTGCAGGTACGTGCAGGGAAGAGTTATACCTGCCGTTATGATCAGAAGTGCAGGATAGACAAAGGTGATTGTCATCTGCAACTGTTCTTTTTCCAAGCTGATGGCGCGGATCAATAGAGCTAGCTGAGAGACAGGCGAAACGGAGGACCCGCATGGTGTGGTGGTGAACGCGTTATTTCCCTGAAAGCACAATAGCGCGTTCGTTCCCCACCGCAGACACCTGCGGTCCGGAGTTTTGCAAATATCTCAGCATCATCTTAGTTGTTCTTTTTCCATTGTCGTAGAGAGTTAAGAGTCATATTTCGAAAGAATAGTGGTGAGTTATTTAGATTGTGCTTAGACGTGTAATTCACTGGTGCATAGTGAGTTTTAACTAAAAAGCATAGTTATTCAAATGATGGTTGTTTTGTGGTCGATCGTGCTATGTATGCCTACGGGTCGCTTGTTATTCTTTTCCGGAGATGATGTAGAGTTGATTTGTTTAAATTTTGCCCCGTTTGTACCTTCCATCCTTTCGGTAACAGACGTTTGGTATCAACGAGCAGTACACCTTACGCGCAAGCACACCTGTATAAATCGGCATAATTTTGCATACACAGGAAGTATAAGTCAAATCGACATAATGCAGTTAGCAATCCCATCTCCTGAATTCAACTGCCTTCAAGGCAAGCACTTCATCTTAGTGACTAACCGATTCGAGCTCCTTTATATGTGCGAAATTGGTGGAGTAATGCATAATAGTAATAGTATAGTAGTAGTATTTGTCGTAATAGTAATAGCATAGCAATAGAGTTATTCATGCTAATCACTGAACGTTTTTAAAACTCAGCTTTCATGAACAGAGCTACAGAAAACTGGCTGATCACTGCGACTCGTGTTTCACTGCGGAACGCATATCAGTGTTTCATATACAATTTCTTGCAGTTATATTTCAGCTGGACGAAACGTTTGTCGTTCATGCCGATATAAGAAATGTCTCGACGTGGGAATGGAACCAGACGGTTAGTTCCCTTACTAAAAGAACTCCATAGGCGAGCTGAAACGAAACTGTTCATCTGTGAATGTTCATAATATGTTTGTATGATGGTTATATATGAATGTCTATGATATATATACGTATGTATGCATACATGTATATATCTATGTATGTATAGATGTGTGCTATATGTGCATACACGTATATATCCATAATGTATGTGCTATATGTATGTGAATTTACGCATATATATATTTAGTATATGTGCATACATATAGCATATGTATAGCGTATATACATATATATATATATATATATATATATATATGTATATAGCGTGCTATCATTAGTCTTTGTAATCAGCATTTAATCTGCACAACATGGGCTTTGTGCTTATCATTATCTGTGATTTGACATGGGGATAGTGTGCGTACTATGTTGTGTGTTCTATACTAAACCAAATAATCCGTGTGCCATTTGCATTTTTCTCTCAACTTTCTCGTCTGTGGGAAAACAAATGTCTAAAAATCTCGGAGCTCACTGAAATGACTGGGTTATCTACTACATTTTCCAGCAATAAGGCCTGACCGCGATAAAACTGGTCGGCAGAAGAATCCACGTCGAAATGGCACTAATCTGATTAACAGCTTTGATCCAGTTGTTATGAAGAAACTTTCTGGCACTTCGATGATCAACGATTTACCATGCGTGAATAAAAGGGTAGGAAGCTCGTTGTTTTGCAAACGCTGATGTATTTTAATGCAAGCTTTATGTTACGCATTCTTCAATCCAAATTTAGGACGATTCTGATGAAAATCCTACATCTCCCTCATCATGTGCCGAATCAGCGCCAGCTGTAGATAGTCAACCGTGTCCATTTGACGAAATTCTGACAACACTTCATGAAATTGAACGAATCTGTTTGCAATTACGTGACGTAGCGCCCGTTTCACCAATATTGTTACCAACTCTACTGAACTGTGTTCATCGACCGTCTTTTATTACTCCTAGGTCTCAGGTTGGTTCCCATAACATGAAGCGGAATCATTGTTATATCTGGAAACAACGTTATGAACTTTCAGAATTCATGATTAATGATAAGATCAGGGTTTATCTTTAATTACGTAGCAATTCCCATGACCGACTTTCTTTTAACCTCGGAATTGATTGATAATTCGATGTTTTTCTTCAATAAGCAGATACGAGGTTGTTATTATAGGATTTATTAGGACACAATAGCTGACGTTTCGGCGGCTTCGCTTTTTTCAGAGCCCTTTATTTGTTGTAAGTATTTAGGTTAGTTGATGGATAGCAGCCGCACAGTAATACACGGGCGATACCTCAGGCTCATGCAATGACCTAACACAGACACAGTTATCGCCCGTGTATTACTCTGTGCGGCTGCTATCCATCAACTAACTTAAGTACTTACAACATATAAACGGCGAAACGTCAGCTATTGTATCCTAATAAATCCTATAATAACAACCTCGTGTCTGCTTATTGAAGAAAACCATCGAATTATCTTTAATTAACAATGTTATACCTTTTTATTTTCTTCCTACTATAATTTCGCTGCAGGGTACTAAGCGAAATACAACCACAACGTTGCTGAGATATTTGCAAAACTCTGCACCGCAGGTGTCTATGGTGGGGAACGAACGCGCTATTGTCCTTTCCGGGGAGTAACGCGTTCACCACCACACCATGCGGGTCCTTTGTTTCGCCTGTCTCTCAGCTATTTCTATCGATCTTAGCGCAATAGCGCGTTCGTTCCCAACCATAGACACCTGCGGTCCAGAGTTTTGCAAATATCTCAGCGACGTTGTGGTTGTATTTCGCTTAGTACCCTGCCGCGAAATTATAGTAGGCAGAAAATAAAAAGGTGTAACATTGTGATTTCAACTACAGCTGCAGCTTAACTGGGTTCTATGCCGATTTGGGCTCCCCAGATCAATCCCGCTAACGGGTGATTGCTGTGGCAAAGATCGATAGAAATAGCTGAGAGACAGGCGAAACAAAGGACCCGCATGGTGTGGTGGTGNCACCACACCATGCGGGTCCTTTGTTTCGCCTGTCTCTCAGCTATTTCTATCGATCTTTGCCACAGCAATCACCCGTTAGCGGGATTGATCTGGGGAGCCCAAATCGGCATAGAACCCAGTTAAGCTGCAGCTGTAGTTGAAATCACAATGTTACACCTTTTTATTTTCTGCCTACTATAATTTCGCGGCAGGGTACTAAGCGAAATACAACCACAACGTCGCTGAGATATTTGCAAAACTCTGGACCGCAGGTGTCTATGGTTGGGAACGAACGCGCTATTGCGCTAAGATCGATAGAAATAGCTGAGAGACAGGCGAAACAAAGGACCCGCATGGTGTGGTGGTGAACGCGTTACTCCCCGGCAAGGACAATAGCGCTGCGCGTTCGTTCTCCAGCGCAGACACCTGCGCTCCGGAGTTTTGCAAATATCTCAGCAACGTTGTGGTTGTATCTTTAATTAGTTACCACCTGAATACTGATGTCTAGTAATGTTTATTGAACCTCCGCCATGCGTGAACTGAGACTGAACAGGGTCGATCTGTGCAAAAAAGGTTGAAAATTAAACGAAACGAGGGTTCGATTCCAAGTACAAATTCAGTAATTTGATGAGCTGATCTGCACACTGTCTTTAAATCACCGAAACGTTTTTTGCTCGCTGTTATGGTTTCTACAATATCATTAGAACAATGGGAATAAATCAACATCCTTGTTACAAAATTTGCTTTGAATACAAAAGTTCTGAATGGAAAAGATATCGTACCTCATTCGAAATCTCAGTGGAGCTTTCTTTGAGTGAAATAGTAAAAAAAAAACTGAAGTCACAGGACTTTAATTGCGAGTTAGTTTTGCACAATTTCGAATTTAGCTCGACATTATAGCTCTTATATCCTTCTAGATATATTCCCCCAAAAAATTGATGGTCGTTTGTTTCCAGATGATTTTCGACGCGTCAAACGGTGAAGCCAATTTAACAACAATCAACGAGAACGTGAGAAGGATGATTGTATTTGTGTTTGACTACGCGAACACGCTGAAACCAATTGCTGACATACTTCCTGAGGAAAAGGTATTGCTTGCTCATCGTTAACATTCATCACCTACCAGTCATCTATGCTAGCATGTTTAACATGTGTACGATGTATTTTGCCCCTTGTTTAACACTTGATGTTTGACTTGAACTGATTTTCAATCGTATGGTGGCAAAACAGCGACTGTTTTTAACTCAAACGAACACATCTTAGCTCATAGAAAAATTCATCAATTGAAAAGAGAGCTGCTGGAACCTAAGGACCTCATCGATCATTTGCAAGTTCTCTTATTCTATCGCGATGAAAGTCCGATATTATTTCGCCCCGAAAGCGAATTTTTGTCTCTTTCTAATCGTCCTGGTTATTTCGAATACCGGAGTATTTGATCAATCGAGTGTCGTCCAGCAAAACGTAATTATGTCTTCGAATGTGTCGTTGATGTTTGTGATTGCCAAGCATGGGCCCAGTTTTTTAAAAATCTTTTCAACATTTTTTGAGGAGTCGTATTTGATCCTTACTCTTTCATTGTGTATTTCTTTTACAAGATTGGTCTTTCACATTAACTGTGCGGATCCCACAACCTTTTACATACGATTCGCTTCCTCATACCCATCATCCACGAAGATCTTCCATATTTTTGGTGTTGGTTCGACTGTTATTTGAGGGCATTCCTTCTGCCATGAATGTCATTCAATGCCGGTCGAGTTATTTTTCCTTGGAGTTCTGAGATAACCGGGCTAGAGCGTTCCTGTTTGTAGTGCAGGGAACAAACTTTTCCCATGCTAGTCTAATACCAAATCTTTCGACTCTGAAGGGCGAGAGGTTTGGTGAGCCGGGGCAGCCGGCGCAGGGTCGAACCAGCACTTTCTCATTGATCAGCATCGCTGCCACTGCGTTACCTATTCCCTTACTCTTAAATAGAGCGAGATCTCTTTTATAAGTCTAGCAGGTTGTCAACTATTCAGCTGGTCTAATAATCGAGAAGCTATCAACAGCGTTAACCCTTTTATTTACTGCCTTTTTCTTTTTAATGGCAGGGTATAGTGCGAAATATAACTCATATATAATGCTGAGATATTTCCAAAACTCCGGACCGCAGGTGTATGCGGTGGAGAACGAACGCGCTATTGTCCTTTCCGGGGAGTAGCGCGTTCACCACCACACCACGCGGATCCTTCGTTTCGTCTGTCCCTCAGCTAGTTCTATCGATCTTTTTTGCATTCAGCAATCACCCGTCGACAGGATTGATCTGAGGAGCCTAAATCGGCATTGAACCCAGTTAAGCTATGGCTTAGTTATAATCACAATTTTAACTCTTTTATTTACTACTTTTTTCTTTTTAATGGCAGAACTAGCTGAGAGACAGGCAAAACGAAGGACCCGGATGGTGTGGTGGTGAAGTGCGCTACTCCCTGGAAAGGACAATAGCGCTCGTTCGTTCCCCACCACATACACCCATTCGTGACAGTTGATTGCAGTATTCAGTAAATAATTCATACTGAAAATAAAATGATATAAGCTCAGATCTTCGCATAAAAGAATTCCAATATTGACGAGCGTACAACTTTGCTAAATATTGCAGTGTTTCTTTAGGCCTTTTTAAACCACTTTCACTGTGTGAGCACCTACATTTTGCATAACTGAGCTTCCTGTTTCTTATTTTAAATAACTAACTATAAACCATTTTTTGTAAATTTCAATGGAATTACCATCTGTCGTTCACTAGGGTTCCGTATGTTCTTTCATCATCTCAATATTTACAATTTACTCTATGAAATAAAGTGCAAATTAAACTTCCCTTTGGTTTCACCGTATAATTTCCCAACTCACTTTCCTCAGCAAGCTTTTGAAAGTTGTACTTTTCGAAAAAACAGTGTTCGGGAGGCTTATACTTTGTGCTGAATGCCTTGCTGTTCTCATCGAGCGAGCTTTTGCAGATGCTGAGATATCTTTAATTAAGTGCTTTCTACCAGAAACTCCAGTACCAAAAGTTAATGGCAATTTTCAGATCGCTTTGGTTCGGAACTGTGTCACACCATTTTCGCTGTTGATGTTGAGTTTCTACTCAGCCAAAAGCGATTGTGACGAGATTTTTCTGCCGTCCGGTCATACACTAGGGTCTGATTTGTCAATCTTCGCGTACACCTTCAGAGACGATAAACGACATCATTTAATAAACTCGAAAGTGGAGTGAGTACAGAGCTAATTTATCGTTTTGCTCCTAAATCTAGTTTACCAATTACGTGACGTGCCTCACAGACGAATACAAATTAGCATCAGTAGTGCAATAGGTTCCGTTCATCTTGTCCAAATCGTGTTGTTGGGAAATGGCTATCTCCAAGTGGAATAATCCGTTGTGAAAGTTGTGTGCGTATCCTATAATAATCTTGCAGGATTTTCCAGATCGAGTGATTCTCAAAAGGACATAGAAGCTGTCGTTTGTCTTTGAAGTCTTCTTTAAAGCATCTCAAAGCAATTCTGAAGAAAAGAAGTCTTGCAACCTGTATGAAAGAAATAGGCGATGTTCTATTAACGAATAACCATGCGTTGAATTTTTTAGTACTAGTTACTCGTGTTCCATCCCTGACTTCTTCCTTCTGCGTACGTTATTTTAAAACAGATGCACTTCAGTGATCACTGATGCCAGACATTACACTAGTTTGAAAAGTATTTTCATTTCTTCCTACAGTTTTCTTTTATCAAGGAGACAGCAGTCGATATAGTCTGTTTTTCATTAGAATGTGTAGCAATGCTCTGTTCACTCAAATATTCATCAAAACCATTTGGACTCATTTCGTTGTCGAGATTTACAAACCTTTAAATGTGAATGTGGGCAGAGAGCACAGTGATAGTGATGTCCGTCATCACGAGCATGTCGTTAGTTCGATTCCGCTCTGGCCATCTAAGCCTGTCATCCCTTCGGGGTGGGGAAATTGGCTCCGGATTTGTCTGGCAAAAAATCACTTTCGACAATCCAATTGGGAACGCTCCAGTCCGGCTATCTCAGGACTCCAGAGAGATTTGCTTGACAGGCATTCTACAACATTCAAGATGAAATGAAAATCCTCAAGCAGGAACCAAAGCCACACAGGCCACGTGTATGTGAGAAGTGCTGGGGTCCGCAACAGTAGTCGTGAAGACGGATCAAATAAAATAAAATAAAAAATTGTGAATGCTATTATCTCTCATGGTTCTTTATATTTATATCGAAATCGGTTCTTCGGTTGACTGAGCATCTTGGGTCATTTTCATCCACATAGAAGGGATTTTACAATTGAATTTTCATTAGGAATGACAACTAGATCTTCTACTTCAGCATTGCTCACAAGCATCTCTGAGTTTCACGAAGAACAGCATCACTATATTAAGAAGAAACTAAGATTTTGGAAAGAATGTTATACTGTGACCTCTTGCCAACCAGTATTATTGGCATAGTCGGCGTCCTCAGTGCTACACTTTAGACTTAGCCAACCTCATCCAGAAACAGCATTCATTTAACGTTCTGATTACTACTCATGTGAAAATTTTGGAATTTCCTAGGAAGCTGTACACCAGCTGGCATTTTTCCCAGACTGCTATTTCTGTTTATATTTGTTCTTGAGCATCAAGAATCGGCTTCAGGACAGTTTTCTTGATGATCAAATGTGACCGAAAGCATAGTCAACCATTTGTTTGCTTTGCTGCTGTCAAAGTTCCTGGCAAAGGAATTTGCTGAGCTACGCATTTGTTGGGAGTATTTTATATATGATTTTGATGAGTATATTTTAGACTATTTTAGACTGACTGTAGGGAGGAAGTGCAGAAAATTCGCTACCAGTATTGCAAGACTTGCTTTATACAGAATATTTTCGTGGTGATTTTCGTTCGCCTTATATGACAATGAAACAGACTTCAATGTTTCCTCAGTTTCTTTAGATATATTTTTCGAAACGAAACTAATAATTCTGGGTGAGACTCGACCATGTAGCGTGTTCCTATTTTGTTAACCAATGAAGAACAGGTTTGCAACCCTTTCGACAAGCGTGTGTATTGTGGGTTGAAGTCGCCGGACAGCGCCCTCCACAGGTGCGTGCAAATCGGGCAAGAGTGGTTGTTCATGCATGTCTGTTATTGAAAGAGAGAGCGGCTTGATGCTAATGTTCCCCATCTCTATCCTCATCACCATCCTCATCCCTATCCCCATTTGCTATCTCCATCCCCATTCCCTTGCACATGCCCATCCTCATCCCCATCCGCGTCCCCATCCGCATCGCTATTCGTCTGATCGACCTGTTTGCATTCGTATTTTAAGTGCGCCATTCCTTTAACTGTGCGGTCGATGTTCGCCGCTGTGTCGCAGTAGACTAAGCCGCTAGTGGTCACTGTAACAAACCGGTTGTCGCTGATGCATCGGCCTGCACATATCCTGGAGCTGTAGGATCGGTAACCAATCGGAAAGATTGCTTTCTTTCTACTACTTCGCTGCAGAATCCTAATCACATACTTTGTCACTGTTCACCAACTCCAACGTCACCACTGCGGGATTTCCAACGATTTCATCTGCTTCATCATCAAAGTTATCGTGAGGTGGTCGAAGTAGGTGGAACTGATTGTACAACACAGTATGATTACGTGCAAATGAGCGTACCGAAAAGATTACGAGTTAAGCGCAATGGCAGTGTGACTGAGGTTCATATAAACAAGCACATATCGTACGTTCAATGATTGCTGTTCACGTTTACCCTGGCGGGACGATCGCGTGCCCCTAGGAAGACCACTTTTAAACTTTAAGTTGGGGATCTTCGTTTGTAAATCGAAAACTTGAAACGTCGTTAAAACAAAAATATAACGACAAGTGCAAAGATGTTCTAAATGTGGCAGTTTCAGGGCCGTGCGCAGAGCTTTCGTCGATCAAGTGGTTCTTCAACTACGGAAATTGCATATATCCGAAACTGAATTTCTAGCTCTAAAAGCCATTATGGCGCTTGATCCCAATGTGAAAGGCTTGTCGATGAAATCCTCTGGACAGCTACTTGGTTAGTCGGAATTATTTTTAAACGAGGATGCTGCTTGGTAGTCTTTTATACCGTAGTAAAACTCTAGAGTTAGAATTATATGACCTTTATGTACTTAATTTTATTGATTCCTACTATTTTATTTATTCGAACCCTACTATTTAGTGAAGCATATCATTACAGTAGGACGTGAATCTGTGCAGAATGCATTATTCTCGCATCTAATGATAAGACATCACGCCTCGGAGGCCACAGCCCGATTCGGCCATCTTCTTCTATTAATCGCCTCTGTTACGGTCAGTTTTATCACTGACTAGGATTCTAGAGGCAAGGCTGCTCCATTTGCTATTCCTTTGGTTGCGCTGCAAAGTGACTCTACGATTTTTCTGCTGAAGTCTTCTGGCCGTGATTTATATGGTTGGTAAAAATTCAATGGTATCTAGAGGACTGATAAGTCTTTGGCGGTGAATGGAGATTGAACAGACAGGCATTATAATTCTCTTAACAGAGGACGAAATCCCTCAGTTTCGAATATTTCTCCACTAAATAAGAGAAAATAAGTGTTTTAGATAAATCATTTCTTTTAAAAAAATTGTAGGAAATAAAAGGATAGAGCTTTCGACGTTTATCAATCGCTGAGGGATACGCCATATATTCGACTTTAACAAGTGCCATTAGAGGTGGTTGAGCGCATGGTAGCCCTATATAATGGTTTGTTTCTGCCTACCGATGTAATATGTCAGTGCTGATACCATCCAAAACAAATATGCTGAGTTCACGGCACAGAATCGAATTGAGGACCATGTGTGTGTGTGCGTGTATCGAAGAGCACCTATAACCAATGACACGTGCACTTCTGAAAACTCTATCATAACATATGAAGTCCCACAACATGGTTCGATGAGGTGCAAGACTTAGAAGGCCCTCTATTGCTTGGATTGATGTTTAATTGACCTTATAAAGAAACACACAAGTTATATTCTGTACCTACTTCTGGATGCATTATTAATTCTTTGAATCTGTTGAGTATTTTTTAATGGACAACATATTTCTATTCAGAAAATATCGTCAATGATGATCGGTTTGCTTCAATTCAGTAGGGACATGTCAGTACCAGTTGATCCTCTAATTGAAGAATTACTGTTGAAAGACTACTAAGTTATTCTTGTAGTATTGCTTTTGCGCTGCGCCAAAAAAACGATCTTTCAACCGGCTAAATATTCTATTCAAATTGTGCTTTTCGATTTCGGGTCATTCGTAACCATTCATGACTAGTTGTTTTATGTTGTGATGTTTATTTCTTTGTTCTTTTCTTCATCGCTATTGTCTCACGTTCTTCATTTCTGTCACTCTTCGTAAGCATCATTGCCGGCCTTAATTGTATAGTTCCGACACTAGTATCCCGTTTTGTGTCGTAGATCCTCGAATTTGCTCAGTTTTTACATCGGTTTTCCAGATCACCATTACCCCATCGGAAACACACTTTCAGATGACTAAGGGTAGTTCGATTGTTCATATTTTTCATTGCGTTTCGGCTTATGTGGTATGTGCATCTCTGTCCTCGATTAAACATCGATCATCAGCTCCGTTCTTTCAACTTGTCATTCTTGGATTTGCCTACTTTGCATTATAGTAGCACAGCACGAACACGTGGTTCGCGAATGAATATGTAATTATGTTTCATTGCATTTGCTATCGTTTCCGTCTAGCATAATATTATATTTTACGATCCCCGTGTCATATTCATGTTTTGATCATTCATTTGAAAATACTGTGGAATTTACGAGACGATGAGTTTTGATAAAGTTTTATCCAATATTCTGTTCACTAGGCGCCATCGTACGATGACAAAAGCATTGATGAAGTGGGAAGAAAAAGTCGTACTAATCTGAGGACCGGGAGATGTGCGGCTGAAAATGTAAATGTTTAGCAGAAGAAAACCTCGGGCATATGCATGAGAAATAAACGCGAACAAAAGAAAAGGAAAAAAACAAACCACCATCGCTGTCGCTTTCCGGGAAAAAACCCGCACATCCACACTTTTCAAATGGTAGTCTGGAAAAGGAAACGCTCGCCACTATACAGTCGGACAGCGCCGCTCTTGGAAAAGGACGCTGTTGAAGTTATTCAGAACAACTCGAAAATCATTAACTTATCACATCTAACTAGCAATATTTGAGTACTTTTCATAGTTTTTCTTTATGGAGAACTATCATCGAAGTCCATCGCCGTCACAGAGTTTCAGTGGAAGAGTCAAGATTTCGTACGAAATGCAGCTGAGCGTAGTAAAAATTTTTCCCGCTGCTAATACTTATTTCATTAGTTCTTTTTTCTCTTCAAGCATAGAAATTCGTCAGCACTTTTCCTGGCACTACTTTAATTTTGTTTTCATTCTCCTCTATTTATTCTTATTGTTACTTTTTTACATTTGATGCAGATAACTACCGCTGTGTATTAACTATTCATCTGTTATACAAAGCCAAAGAATGGAGCTCTCGACGTTAAACAATCCCTAAAGAATGGGTCATGCGTTCGACTTCACTAAGCATCCTTAGAGGTGACTGAGTGCGTACCTGACCTGTACAATGACTTGCAGTGACCTACTGACGCATTAAGTCGGTGATCTTATCTTTCCATAAGAAGTCTGGAAACAATTTCCCGACCCTGGAAGAATAGAAGGCCTGGTGAGCTCGAGATGCGGATCGAACGGAAGACCACAAGTGCATTGCAGAGCGCCTCTGACCACTGCGCTACAAGCGCTCCTATCTATTGTGTATCAAATGCTAATCTGTTATTGTTATTTAAGGTTATTGTTTATTATTTGCTATTATTATCTGTTGTTATTGCTTGTTATAGTAAGTTAATATGGCGGGCGAAAGCCTTCCGGCCTTTAAATGTTTTGAAAGGTGACATTTCCTGCCCTTCCATAAGATTTTGTCGCTCTTGACGTAGAGCAGCTGAAAAAGGAAAGAATCTCAAATCAGTGAGTGGTTTTTAGGTGGTAGCGAATATCAGTTAGTACTGGAAGAAGAAACTCGGTGTTCTAGGAAGATGATATCGAAAATGTCGCCAATGTCGAGAATATTATCCTGTGATGGTACTGCTGACGGTGGTTTGAACGAGAACACCTCTACTATCTCAATAACTCACGTTTTTATCAATTTGAGTTTAGCCCTAGAAATTACCCAAATTATTAGTTCCACTATAGACCTACTATGTAGATGTGTTAAGAAAGTTATGATGTATTGCAAGAATATTCATCAGACATTTATCTGTTGAGCAAACAGCGTGACCGTTAAGGTGAGATAAACGTTTCATTTGTAATACATAAAACGAGAGAAAAGGCAAAGGTGAATGGGTTTTTCCTCTACTCAGTAGACTTTTGACACGAAAGGACTTCATTCATCACTGCTGCTGTACTAAACTAACTATACGGAACAGGTTCTTGCAAACACAAAGCTCAAAGACTGTCGGAAACAGGACGTTGTATGGAGTGATGCTGATGCGACACTCTTCCGTAGTTGCTGAGATCTGCAGAGTCGCATTGGTGTCAACTCATGGAAACATTCAAATTGTTACACAGAGAAACACCGAATCGCAAAAATATAAAAAAGGCGTCTTCTGAACACTCAATCACAAAGCAAGAGAACGATGAAATATAGCGTGAAGAATTACCCGTTTTCGTGAAAGGTGGAGCAAAAAGTTTCGTTTTTATGGTGGTTTTCATTGTTCTTTGGAAAACAAGCATTGGGATCTTCTAGTGTCGACATGAAAAGTACCTTAATATGTATTAAACCGAAGACTCATTCTAGAAGAACCTATACTTAATTCGATAATTGGATGGCCTGTCTTCACTGATTGTGCGAGTCCCAGCACTTTTCCATTGTTTTGGAGTATTGCTGATTAAGCCATTGTGGTTCTCTGGAGTCCCGACGTATCCTAGCCAAAGTCTGCCCCAAGTCGTCACCACCACAGGCAGTCGCAGCCCTTGTGGATCAGAAGGAGATTTGCAACCATGCGACTAGTTTGATACGAGGGCGGTGATCGATCCTGGTATTCACTCTTAGCTAGGTTTCCTGACGGGAAAGCCTGGCTACTCAGCTTTTAAGACCCTGCCGGGGGATGAATCCCTCGGTGTACATCGAAGTCCGACACCGAGGAACAGCTCCGAGCCACAGTGAGGCGGTAAACCGTTGGGAGGAAGACAGAAGGTAAGCAAATTGAGAGATAGCTGCCACTGAAATGTATATATCATTTTCGTGAGAAAACACGGTTCTATTATTTATCCACCGGTCGTAGCAAATGTTTTTACCTCTTTGAGATTCAACCAATATTATTGCTCTTCCTTTCTTAAGATCTCCTTTTACTCTGGCAATGTAGTGGCAATGAGTGATAACGTCTCTCGCAACTTCACGTTGGTATAATAGCTCGAGCTGTTCTGGAGACTAAACTCTCATAATAGTTCCCAGGATCGACTTTCTATTAACCTCTGCATTGGAATATGAATGCGTTCTCTTCTTGTTCAGCAACTGCGAGGTTTTTAAACAGCATACATTTACTTCCATAGAGAAACACAATGCAATACAACACTAGCTGACGTTTCGGCAGTATCGCCTTCTTCAGAGCCTGGAAGGGTATACTGATGTACAATGTACTAGGCCAGACACTTCAATAACATTTACAAAAAACGAAAAGCTCTATGGTAATTACATGATCAACAGCTTCTCGAAAAACTCACCGCGTTTACGTGAACTCCGTTGAGGAAGATTAGAACAGCTGATTATAGTCGCATATGCCTGATGACTGCACCATCCCACATTAGAAATTGATGCAACATACGGGATCAGGTCGCGTATGACCTCCGGGCATTCATCCCTGCTATTCATTGTAGAGTTTTTGCCATTTATCCAAAAAGCCTCAAGAAGTTTTCGCGCTGGTGTTTCAGACTCCTGTGCAAGGATGTGCAGATGATTGCTTTGTCGTCTTCTCTACGCAGCAGGAGGTGGACAAATGCTTTGAATTATTGAACGAGCAGTCTGAGTACATAATGTTCACCCGGGAGAAACCGAGAAAAAACTGGCTTTCGTTTTTGGATGTTCAAATAAACCTATTAAGTAGCGGTTACATGAGAAAGTGGTACCGAAAACCAAGTAACAAGTGCATTCTTGTTCATTTCCTTTCTTCCCACCCTTCACACACAAAGAGAGCGATTGTGAGAAACATGTTTCGAACAGCCACCTCTGTGTGCACTACCAGGGAACTAAAGGAAGAATCGCGCGACTTGGCTCGGCAAATAGCCATCTCCAATGGTTACGAAATAGTAACCCCACGAGATAAGTTTAAAGTTTAAAGTTTAGATAAGGAGAGCGACGCGTCCACGCGAAACACTTGGCCAAAAGAAAATCCCATTTATGTTGCCTTTTATAAGCGATGAAGTAAGCGTAGCTATAAAACGATGCTTAAGAAGGGCAGGTTTAGAAGAATCGGTAGCGATAGTTGAAATACCACCGGCTGCTCTACATCGCCAATTTGTTCGTAACCGACTGTATGACCGTCTATGTGAAACAACAAATTGCGTAATTTGCCCTTACGGCAGGGACGGTGATTGTATATGTTCAGCTACGATATACCTGATCTCTTGTAATAATTGCGGAGATGAATATATTGGCGAAACGGGTAGACCTTTGTGTAACCGTATAAAAGAACACCTAGATGGCAAACGGAAACTAAGACGATGCATCACACTAGGCACGCATATGATACAAAAGCATAGCGGAGACGATTTTGAGGTAAAAGTTAGTAGCCTTGCACAGGAGTCTAAAACGCCAGCGCGAAAACTACTTGAGGCTTTTTGGATAAGTGCCAAAAACCCTACAATGAATAGCAGGGGTGAATGCCCTGAGGTTATACGCGACCTGACCCCGTATGTTCGCATCAATTTCTGATGTGGGATGGTGCAGTCATCAACCATATGCGACTATAATCAGCTGTTCCAACCTTCCTCATTGGAAGCCACGTAAAAAGCGGTGAGTCTTTCGAGAAACTGTTGATCATGTAATTACCATGGAGTTTTTCGCCTTATTGTAAGTGTTATTGAAGCGTCTGGCCTAGTAGATTGTATATCAGTATACACTTCCAGGTTCTGAAGAAGGCGATAC